CTGCTTTTATATAGCTAAGGATGCAAGTTTGTTCAGTGAGAAGTTAATTTTAAGTTTGTGCAATTATATTTCTATTTTTTTTTTCGTTGAATTTTTTAAATACTCGTAAAAATGACTAGAAAGTGTTTGGCGTGTAGAAGTTCTAATATAAAGGTCCCCGAATTATCTTTTCATAGACAAGTAAAGTACCTATTCAATTGTTCTTTTATTTATATTAAACCACACGCATACTTTCTGGTTAGATTTCCTCAGAATATTGATGTTGGTACGGAGTGGCTAAAAGTATTTTTTATATAATTTAATTTTTGTTTACAGTAAACATTTAATTTATTGTTCAAATATATGCATTTTACAAATTAAATTTTTGAAATTAATATTCAAATTTGGCGTGTGGACGATAGGTCCTCGACAAGGATAGATAGGGTAGAAGCACCGCGTGTGTAACAAAGAAAGAAGATAAATGTAAGTCGTTGATATGTTTGCGACAGTTTCCATAGTGATTTACTTATCCACGAAAGTATATATTATGATCTAGGGCCATCACTGATCTAGTTTAAGTAATCTTTTGGCCCATCCTGTATATTACATTCATATACTCCAAACTATTGAAAACCCCCCAAAACCGTTCTCAAAACAAGGTTCTCCAAAACAAGTAAAAACTATCCACTTGAATTTTTCTAGCATTTAAAGTGTTCCTAATATTATAACAAAATTTTTATAGTTTGAAAATCAACTTCAGAATTATCAAATTTACGAGAACTATTAATAAGTGTAGATTAAATAACTTTAATTACTTATATATTATCAAAAAATCATTATTTTTTCATTATAAGAATTATTTCAATATAATTCTACATAAAATATCCAACCTATCCATATTAACCTGTACATTCTCATTTATTACTTGCTCTTTAGATCACTAGACATGTTACTTATAAAGACTATTATTAGTTTTGCCCTTAAGTGACGTAATATGATGTTGGTTACATTACGCAAAGGCAAACACGTGTCTAGGGTCGTTTCATGGTCTAAGTTTTTTTTCTTATATTTTAAAGGAACGAAATGAATGTTGCTTTAAAGTTTCTTTTATTAGAACTTTTATATTTTAAAAATTATTTAAATCAACATTCTGTTTCATTTTAAGCGCTTTTTTTTCAATTTTTTTTAAATTTACTTCTTTTGTAAATATTTTTATTATTTATTTCTTTTTTTATTTTCTATGGAGTTACTAAAGCTACTTTAATTTACTGTATTAACACAACGGCTATGCTATACTTATTTTTATAATACCCATCCTGTGGTGCAAGTAGACAATTTTATATATTTTAATTTTTATAATTTATATGTGTATATTTGGAGCATTCCTTGGTGGTAGTAGACATTATTGTATTTTATGTAGATTATATTCTTTAGTTGGTACAGCAATAAGGTTGACATGAATATACAGTGTTGTCGAAATTGTGTTTTATACAGGGTATAAATGAATTAATGCAATGCCTTTTTGATCTTTTGAACTTGTTTCTTTATCTTCTTTATTAATATTTTATGACTTATGGACACACTGTATATTTAGGTAGATAGTTTACTACTTTGCACATATACAGGGTGTAACAAAATAGTGTTCAAACTTCAGTGGGTGATAAAAATACAGATAAAAAGAAATGAAAAACGTTTCCTTTTCTTAGGGCACTTTTTGATTTATATTTATGTGTAGAATCGTTTACTGAAGTTTGGTACACCAATTTTTTACACCCTGTATAAAAAAGAACAGTATTTTTTTAGTTACTTATTTGCAAAAATTTTAGCCACACGTATATTCAATAATAAATATATTGAGTATCACTAATGTTTTAATCTTTGTACAAAAAAAGAATGATAATAATAGATTGATTGATTGTTGTTATAATTATAGATTAGGAGAAAAAAGTAGGCTTTATATATGTATATTATTGTTTATTTGTAGTTCTAATAATTAAATTGAAAACAATTGCAAAATATCGATATATTGCATCAATAGATTTATTTCTTTTTCTGCTTTAACGGGCAAAAACAATGTGGCTCAATAGGTTGATTTGTCAACTTTTTTAATGGTATTTTGCTAATGTCACATATCTCGATGTATATTTCCAGCATTTTTTGGGTTAATATTTTTTTGGTTTAATTTTAAAACGCAATGGACAAAAGTAGAATTTTTTTTCGACAACACATTTTTTTAAATTTTTTTCAGTCATAGTTTTTAACACCACTGCGTTGACCAAGCGGAGCCCAATTTGTCAGTAGTATTTTACTAACAATATGTAATACCTTTGAACAGAAACGTGGACATACTGGATTAAAAAACGGCGTTTACTGGTCTTTGAAATGACAGTTTTTATCAAATCAACAACTAATTACCATAGATAAAGGAAACAAGTTTAGATTGGAATCAAAGAATATACCTAGCTAGAAAAAGAATGGACTCTGCCATACTGAAAAATGGTCCTACAGAAGTGGCGCCATCTATTGAGTAGGGCTTGTTTTAAATGGATCGAAGCGCGGGTTTTTTAAATGAGCATATTTATTGAATTTTACTCTAAAATAGATAATTAAATTTGATTATTAAATCTTATTTTTACACAAATTCAACAATGTAATAACAAGTATCGTTGTGATGTGTAAAAAATAAGATTTAACAGTATAATTTATACAATTATTAAATAAAATTAAAGCCAAACATGTGTAAATATTATTTATTTAAAGTTTTTATTTATAAGTCAAATATTTAAACATCGTTTATTATAATAAAACAAGACCAACGTAATACGCCCAAAGTTTTGTAAATGGAGTAAATATAAATAGGTACTTAAATGATGGCAAATATAAAAGAATTACATTATATTTTTAGGGCCACAAACAAAAGGAATTGTCTAATTAAAACACATATAACAAATTATAGTTTGAAAAACGTTTTGATATCATTTTTGATAATATTATGATTAGAGCTATGATAACGACAATATTTTTTGAGAATTTGACAATAGTATGACAATGGCCGTTGGAAACTATGGAAACTACAAAAAAATTCTGACTTAACGCCATCTGGCAATAACTAGTAGCAACTTCTTAACCTAAAAATTAATTATTGCACTACCACCTAGCGCCTGAGGCTGGAACTATTTTATTTGAAATTTCCGTGGAAACGGTGGAACCGCTTTTGCTATTTCACTTTCCCACCCCGGATTGGAATGTTCTGCTAGCCGCCAAAATTTATAATTATTGTTTTGGGGTGCATACGTTGTACGGGATCTGGCGCTGCTATAGCTGTTGCTAAGAACAACCGTAAACAAGAACAGGAACATAGTTAAAAGAAAATAATCTTCTATTAAGATAGATATGAAACTTAATAGTAAAATTTTGGGTCAAAGCGCCCCTCCGTGTTCTTAGTAGAGACTACGTTTAACCCAGCGCCTTCGCCTTTTCTGCTGTAAATATTTTTTATCTTTATATTTGATTTCAAAGGATTTAGTTTTAAAGTTACACTGATATATTAGTATATCAGACTAACTTTAATAAAACATAAGAATATATATATATTTTACAGTTTATTAAATATAAATTTTGACTACAAGGTATAAAGTAAATCACAATATTTGATAAAATTTATAAGTATACCATTTTTACAGTTAATAAATAATAAAACTATTTCTGACTATGATATTTAAAATTTAGATAGATAGAATATTAAAAAACATACCGGTATTTGCAGACGCAGGCCCTAATTCAATAAAAACCAAAATTTTTCCTGCGAAAATCGGGCTTTTTTCACAGAAAAGGTATTTTTTGATTTATCAACAATCATTGTTAAGTTGACAATATACGGGGTGTTTTCTAATTAGTCTAAAAAATAGTGGTGTGATTCCTCATGTGTTCTTAAAACAATTTTTATATAACCATTAGGTCCAAAGTATTTCCTTTCTGATCTACAGGGTGTTAAAAATTAAAAAAAATCGATATTTTGCTTAACATAAATGGTACACTACTGCTTTTTTAAAGAAAATATATTTTTTTCTTGACTGGCCATCCTTTTTCAACAAAACTGATCTTTTGAGTTTTTCTTGTTCATCAAACGGTTGCCGAGAAAAAAATAAATATACTTATTAAGAGTCCGCCTTAAGCTGTTTTCTAACGATTTTTTATTTTTTAGATTAGTTAGGAAACACCCTGTATATGCATATCACAGGCAACCAAATAAACTAGTAACCTCTAAAAATTATTTTTCCTACCACTAGCGACGTACCGTGTTTTTAGTGAGTACTAAATTATTTTATCAAAATTTCACCATATAAGTTTCAGGTACGAACAGAATAATTTTCTCACCCAAGTCAGAATCTTCAAAAATATAAAATCTTTCAAAATTTAACCGTCCTCGTTGAAAAAATACCGAAAGTGTTCAAAGCGTCCAAAGTAATTATTGCTATCTTGTGAGTTTAATTTAAATTTTATTTACTCAAACCCGTGATAATTGTGAAAAAGTGGCATTAAAAACTTAAAAAGCTGTGTGAACTGTGAACTGCAAAAAGCATCGTGGATCGTGGCATAACGTCGGTTTTCAATGTTTCATAGGTTTTTCCTTATATAAAAAAAGGTTCTTATATGCAACACACTATATTTTATTTAAAAAATTAAAAGAAAATAATAAATTTGAATAAATAATATTTGGCGACATAATTCCGGAAAAAAGCCGAACCGCTCCGAAATTATCAAACGCTTTGGAGAGCGACCGTTGTAAGAATAGCGCTAAATAGTGTTTACATTTTCCTTATGGGCACTTTCCAATCTAACCTTGTATTCCTTCCTTTATCTATGCTAATAACATTTTTATTTTGATATTGTAGAAATTATTATTTGATCATTCTAATTTTTCTAGGTTAGTTTCTACTTTTATCCATTGCTTCACTTTTACGTCTTACCTTCTTCACCCAAAATCAAACAGGTTATACCGATATATTTTATCTTTATAGATGTTTCGATAACGAGAAATTCCCTGACGTCATATCCGACGCCAACAAGCATCTCACCTACTGTAACGTCAACGGGTCAGACAACGACATCTACTACGTCACGTCCTGTTGCGACAGTGCCGATTACTGCAACGAGATGGCGCTGCCGCGTATCGTGTTAGGCCAGTTGAACAAGTCGGAAGCAGAAGGTCAGCACACGTCATGTGGGCTTTCGGAAATCTTTGTCTTGTCCGATTATTATCGATCAATGGGTCATCATCGAGTTTTGACGTTACTTTCGTTGTCAGTGGTCAAAAAAAAATTGTGTCATTCGTAGCGACGACTGGTAGTATTTCGATGTATGTACAGGGTAGTTCAATTTGGACGCTTGGAGATAGACGAAAACTAATATCGGTTCCTGGAGCTCAATTTTTATCAAAAACATGACTGTGAAAACCGCACGTCGATATCTGTTACCGTTTCGGAGTTACGATTTTTTTTTCAAAAATAAGCATTTTTAACAAATCACTGTAACTTTTTAGCTATGGAAAATTTTGTATTTTTATGAAAACATTTCCAAAGCTCCTTTTTACATAGAATGGTTTAAGGATATATTTTTTAAAATTAATAATTTAAGAGTTATCAACAGAAAATTTGATTTTTTTATTTGGGACACTCTGTATATTTTTAATTAACTGAAAAAAAAATTAAAATTACCTTTCCAAAAATATAGCATACTTGATATTTTCTTAGCCCCCTTCGAAATACAGAATTTTTAAAAGTTTGCCACTTTTAACTAGTAGGCTTTGGACCCCTTATGGATGATCTGCCACTAATAGAACTCGGAAACATATTTTTCCAGCAAGACGAGGCACCACCTCAGAACGCTGAAATTATTAGCAAATTTTATAGCCAATTTTGCAAATAATTGAATAGTTAACCAAGATCCCAGCCGTTGGCCATCGAGACCGCCGGTCTTAGTGCCTATGGATTTTTATCTTTGCGGAAGAATAAAGGTTCTTGTTTTTAAATTGCCCGTATAAGACAAGAATTAGAAGTACTTATCGGTTATGCGACTATCTTTCACCCTACTGAGTTAATGAATTCCGCAAAAAATGCGTCGAACACCTGTAGCAAAATCTCATGTCTTGGTTTGCTATTACTTTTTATTGTTATTAGATATAGTTTATGTGTGTTGATGTTGATAAATGTAGTTTAAATTGTTGTAAAATTCTGTATTTCTCATTGCAAATATTATTTTCGTTTTAATTGCTGCTCACAGCTAGAATTTTTTTGTATTACATACAGCCGGCGCCGTTCAAAGCCTACTTATTCAAAGTGAGCGAATTTTTAAAAACTCTAAATCTCGAAGAGGAATCGAGAAAAATATCAAGTATGCTATAGTTTTTGAAAGGTAATTTTAAATTATTTTCAATGAATTAAAAATATATAGGGTGTCCTATATAAAAAATCAAATTTTCTGTTTATATTTCTTAAATTATTACTTTAAAAAAATTATACTTAAACCAGTAAATTCTACGTAAAAAGGTGCTATGGAAATGTTTTCACAAAAATACAAAATTTTCCATAGCAAAAAAGTTACAGCAATTTGTTAAAAATGCACATTTTTGAAAAACACCCCGTAACTCCGAAACGGTACCAGATATCGATGTACGGTTTTTACCATCATGTTTTTGATAAAAATTGAGCTCCAGAAACCGATATTAGTTTTCGTTTATCTCCTACAGGAAAGGGAGTTTGCCTTTAAAAGCGTCCAATTTGGTTCACCCTGTACATCGCAATTCTACCAGGCGTCGCTGGTCATTCGTATCCATACTTTCATCCCTCAGTGCGTTGTTCGTCTTTTTTTGTCTTTGGTCAGTCTTGTTTTGTCCCACAGCAATGGAGTGATATGATCAAAGGGGTGCATCCTGTGTCATGGGGATTATCATATTAGAGTGGCTTCATTGATTTTTGAAAATTTTAAAATAATTTTAATTACGAGATAAACTTGATATTATACCGGGTGTTTTTCAAAAGTGGCTCACCCCTATAACTTTATTTTTTTTCAGGATCAAAAACAACGAATTTTGGCATTTATGTATGTATATGACAGTTTCGGTCACTTCCTGTTTCACCGGAAATGACTACAAATTTTGATTTTTAAATGGTACCCTCGGTATTTTTTTAAATGTCGATTTTTTTATCGGAAAAAATAAAAATGTTACAGGGGTGAGCCACTTTTGAAACACCCCTGGTATCGTACACCTCAAATTAAAATGTTTTATTTACTCCCCTATGTTAAATATACAGGGTGGTCCGAACTGTATTCCGGAAAATTCGGCAGCATATTCTGCAGATAAAAATAAGTAAAAAAGTTCGTATAAATGTATGTCCAAAAATACTTAGTTTCGGAGATACAGGGTGTAGAAGTTTCATTTTTATTTCGATTTTTTCCAAATAATTTCTGAAGTAACGTCAATACCTGGGTGAAAATTGGTGTCTGGGAGTTTTTTGGCATGAGAAATTTGATTTTGATGTCCATAAAGGAGGGTCCACATTTAGTAACATGTTATATAACATTGCTATTTAACAAGCTACATGTAACATGTTAAAAAACCGGGAGCCGTCCACATTATAGTTTTCGTAGTCATGAATCGTTTTGGCGAGAAAGAGGTTCAGCTCGCAGCAGCGGCGTGCGTAATTAATTTTGAACTAAGGGAAAGAAAGTCGAGAAAAAAAGCGGTTTTGAGTCCGCCATAGCCTACCAGCAAGATCTAGATACAGTTGAACTCAATTAGCTTATCTTTTCAATACTTGCCTCGGCTGTTTCTCGTGGTGTGTTTCTGTCTTTTAAAAACATTAATAATTTACAGTACGTCTCGTCTGCTGGATCTGTGTCTATGAAAGGAATGCGGACAAAAAACATTTAAATAAACAGCAATATATTCTATACGTGGATTTGACGAGTGCGTCACCGCAAATCGCTCCGCCCACTCATTTTATTGGCTACTTGCAAATTTGTCGAATTTTTATTGATGGGACGCGTCGTCTATTTTTTACGAAAAACATCGAGAGAATATCGTTTCCCCTCTCACGGATACCCCGTAGCTACAGAACGAACAGAGGTACTGTAAAAGCAAAAGCAAACCATTTTGAATTATCCACTTCATCTAAACCATGCAGTTCCTTATTTGCATTTCTTTTGTTCCCGCTGGAACTGGCCTATTAGATTACGCATTTTTTCTCAACTTTTTCTGTTTCCAAATACATACTATGAAATGAAAATCGCTGTCATTTTATATGGAAAATTATATGGGGAATGTCATCGATCGTCATGTCCAAGCCAACTTACTTGCTACTACTGCCATTACGCTGACGAGTATTTGACACGCATCAAAAGATGGTTACGCAAGGCGTTTCCTGTCATGAGCTTTTCTGTGACTGAAAAGCCCGATACGTGATGTTATCTCTTTTCCGCACTCCGGACATTCAAAAATCTCATTACTGTGTTGCCTCTTTACCTTTTGGTTGTCGTTATTAACTGAATTTACCAAGCCAACTGGACGGGAGGCCGACGGGACACAGTTTTTTTTTCGATCATACGGTATTATTGACCAGTAAATAAACAAACCAATCAGCTCATCACACTAAGATTCTGTCGCGCACGTCCCTGAAAATATAAGCGGCTAAACTAGATATTTAGGAAAATTGGACGCGTATTCTGCAGATAAAAATAAGTAAAAATGTTCGTATAAATGTATGTCCCAAAAAACTTAGTTTCGGAGATACAGGGTGTAGAAGTTTCATTTTTATTTCGATTTGTTCCAAATAATTTCTGAAGTAACGTCAATACCTGGGTGAAAATTGGTGTCTGGGTGTTTTTTGGCATGAGAAATTTGATTTTGATGTCCGTAAGACTCCTATTTATAGGGGGCGCCACCTACACGTGTTTTAACTGTTTTAAAGAGTAATAACTTTTCGTCCGTACCTGTATAAAACTACCGAGTGAAAAAATATACATTTCCGTAACTTTTTACGTAAAAAATGTTTCTTGGTAAAAATCGCTACGAGCAACCGTTCTGAAGATATTTAGAACGGAAGTAGTCAATACATGTAATTATATTGACTAAAAATAAACACGTTGAATAGATAGTTATTTGACTGAAATAATAAATTTGGGAAATTTTTATTTCTTTATATTAATCATAAATTTTTCTACGAAAAAAATATGATAAAACAGTTTCTGTAGAACTTTTGGCACAAAAACATTTAAAATTTATGATTTCAGTCTAATAACTATTTAATCAACATGTTTAATATATGTCAATGATGACAGGTATTGATAACTTCGATTCCAAATATCTCAAGAACCATTACTCATTTACCAAGAGACCTTTTTTACGTAAAAAATGTCGCAAATGTGTATTTTTTTACTCAGTAGTTTTATACAGGTACCGACGAAAAGTTATTATTCTTCAAACCAGTTAGAAAATATGTAGGTGGCGCCCTCTACAAGTAGGAGTCATATTGACATCAAAATCAAATTTCTCATATCAAAAAACTCCCAGATACAAATTTTCATCCAAATATTGACGTTACTTCATAAAATATTTGGAAAAAATCGAAATAAAAATAAATCTTCTACACCCTGTATCTCCGAAACTAAGCATTTGGGACATACATTTATACGAACTTTTTTACTTATTTTTATTTGCAGAGTATGCTGCCGAAGTTTCCGGAATTCAGTTCGGACCATCCTGTATAAAAAAATGAAGCCATTTTATATATGATATCTATTAAATTGATGGTTCATATATTTTTAATTCATTGCTAGTAAACTTAATGATTTTTAGGGTATCTATATAGTATTATAGAGAACAGCATGAAAAAATATGATATTTTAGTCCATTACTAGGGTAAGATAAGTAATTTTTGTAAACGATGAAAATTGTGCATATTTACGTATTATATTTAAAAATATTTTCTGATTTTTCTTTATATATATTTAGAAATTACTATGAGTATGTTCTTTGGGAGCTTATTTTAATATTCCTGCATGCTTTGGGCTGTGCTTCTGTACCTTAATGCTTTTCTTGTGCTTATTTTGCATTTGGAATGCTTTACTACTTGTAAATATAACTTTTTTCATGTTTTTTTTAACAGCAAAATATTTATATGATCAAAATTATGATTTAGGTTCAAAAGGGACGTTTTTTACTGGTCTTCAAACGGCTCTGTTGATAGTGGTGCCCACTCTTGTCATATGCGTGTTGGTAATATTCGCATACTGCTTTGTGACGTCGAACTACAAGAAGAGGGGGTTGCATCATCATTTGAGACATGGAGATGACAGTATTGAAGCACCTGATCATCCCATTCTCAATAAGGGTGTCAGTTTGAAGCATATGATCGAAATGACAACTAGCGGAAGTGGTTCAGGTAACAAAAACGTTGATGTAGGACTTTGAATATACAGTAATAGCAAAACATTTTTCGATGCACGTCATCGATCACATCGACATTGACAGTAAAGTCTGTAAACCTGACTGAATGAAATTTTGGCAAAAATGTTTAATTTTGTTGTATAATTTAAGATACCGAGCAGCTCTTCGTTTTACCACAGATTAAGTATACTATATGTATACAGATAAAAATCTTATCCCTAATTCGTGGTACGAAAATTGTCTTTTATGACGATGTGCAAACGAGTAAAATTTCCTGTGCGCAAAAATAATCTTGCGTAAATAATAATAAACAGCGTAATAGAGAGATATCGCTAAACAGAATAGCTTGCATGGACGTTAATAAGGCCAGGTGTTATTTCTTTTACGTGAGGTGGTATTAACTCTCTTCATTTATAGTTATCGGATCGGAAAGAATTCTGTTCGCGTCGCGTCCGCTATTTAAACTTAACCTAACTTTCAATTTAAAACTTTGAAATTGTTTTGTTTACTAGGTATTTTAAAACTAAAGGGCTGAAGTGCTTATTTTCAGTGCTTTATTGTTCAACGTCTGCCAGTGGGTTTAGGGCAACAAGCAACAAATTCTCTTAGAAGGGCTAAGTCGTCATCTACTGTAAACCTAAGCCTCCTTATAGGTTCTTTAATATTGGAAGAGGTGGAATCCATATTTTGGGCCATATTTATTTAATTAAAACTAATCCCAGCTACTTAAATATCAAATTACCTAATAAAACTAAAGTAATAATTCTAAACAATTCAAACATAACCTAAAATAATTGATCTCGCCGGCCGGCCCCGCGGGCTCCAATTGTCTAATACCCGCACATGCCCATTTAAGCAATTTTTAAACGTTATTTAGAAATAGCGCTTGGTGTAATTGATCCGCAAATTACGTCAGGCGGTAACGTCATTAGCGGGCGTTGCGTTAAAAATTGACTCGCGCATATCGTAACCATGATAAGGTACGCGTAAATACTGCATTACGCTATTCGGTTTTCCGATATCTCTCTAATAACTGTGCCGGTCAGACGCTGTGCACAATTTTAGAGGCCATAAGTGGGCGTGCTATGTGCGCAAACTAGTAACCTAATTAGTGCCCGATTCCGAAAATTGGAACCACGACAAACAATAAAGAAAAAACAAAGTTTATAATCTGTGGTTTTACTTTATAGAGCAAATGATTGTAACAGATGTTTTATTTAGATTAAAGCTGCAAAAATTAGTTTAAACCGAATTTTATTATCGCTATGTTGGTCACATTGCGCCGTGTTCAGCAACGTTGTCGTTTATTATTTATTTTATTAATATCGAGTTGTTGTTGAATCTTTGTGAGCAATTCTCGTTTTTTTTGCCTATTTTCATAGTTTTTTTTAAATTGTACTTTCAAGCACAAAAAGTTCTTTTAAGAACTAAATTTTAGAGTTTTTGAATTGCATTTCTTCAAATTGTGGTAATGAAGGTTCTTTATTACCCTTGACTGCATTCAGAAAAGTAAGTTTGATTGATAAGCACCATATACCACTTTCAAAGTTATTTTTCTACGTTAATTTTTATTAAATTCGGTTATTATTAGTTTGTGCATTAATAGCACCCTCTTGCTTGTTATTCCCGCTTAGGGCATTGCAAGATGTACATCAATAAATAAATAACCAATAATTAACGCTTATAATAATCTTCATAATGCACTAGTTTTTGTCAATATGTAATAAGTAAAATAAGCTAGAAAACAAATAAATCAATTAATCGCTAAAATATTAGTTATTAAGATAAAAATAAAACGTGAAACTGTTTAAAAGATGATATAATATGTTGTTCGTCAATTTTAAATTAAGATTTATCTCATAAATCCATCACAATCTGGCAGCGCTGTCGCCATCGCTTGTCACTCAAAGTTTATCACGTGCATCGGAATTTGTTTTGCGATTACCATAGTTAATTACAACTCTCTTATGCGCGAAGTCTAGCTAGGAGCATATCATAGATTAAAAAAAAACAATTAACAAAAAAATATACAAAATATAAATGTTATTTTCTTTTTGTCAGGGTTGCCACTGCTGGTACAGCGATCTATAGCTCGTCAAATACAGCTGATCGATATTATCGGTCAAGGACGTTTTGGTGAAGTCTGGAGGGGCAGGTGGAGGGGCGAAAATGTAGCTGTCAAAATATTCAGCTCTCGCGAGGAACGATCCTGGTTTAGGGAGGCTGAGATTTATCAGACGGTGATGCTGAGACATGAAAACATTCTGGGATTCATTGCAGCAGATAATAAAGGTACGACATATTATTTTTCAAGTATTTTACAGATAAACATGGTACTGTGACTGTGACGATTGTTCTCATTCAGTTCCTCCAACACGACTTATTGTTTACCCACAGTTCCAAATAACTAGATTGTTTTTAATACAGAGTACTAGGCTAGGCAATAAAAATATTGTTTATTTTAGATAATGGTACGTGGACTCAACTGTGGCTCATCACCGACTACCACGAGCACGGCTCACTCTTCGATTTTCTGGGCAGGAACACTTTGGACACGGGCAGCATGATCAGGATGGCCCTGTCCATTGCTACTGGTCTTGCCCACCTTCACATGGACATCATGGGCACGCAAGGTAATAGAAATACCTTATTTTTTAACAATTTCCTGTTTAAATTTCTAATTTAATCCATAAATCCGGAGTAATAAATAACATTTCAGAATTTTATGAGTGAATTACCGTTGCTCTGTTGTTTAAGATTCGTTTTTCAGACTGTATTATTTGTTTTTGACAAAAAAAATCATTAATGTTTGGTTTGTGTTACAGGAAAGCCCGCTATTGCTCATAGAGATTTGAAATCGAAAAACATCCTCGTCAAATCCAACGGCACCTGCGCCATTGGCGATCTTGGATTGGCCGTTAGACATGACGTCACCACGGATACGGTGGACATCCCTTTGAATAATAGGGTTGGCACCAAGCGATACATGGCACCAGAGGTAAGTAATTATATTTTATTATTATATATTGTTATTTATATATTTATTGATGTACAGTTTAGAACACCACAAGTGGTAGTATCAAGTAAGAGGGTGCCATTAATGCACAAACTAATAATGACAGAATTTACTAAAAACTAATGTAGAAATAACTTTGAAAGTGGTATAATCTACTTACCAATCAAACTTACTTCTCTGACTGCAATCAAGGGTAATAAAGCACCTTTATTGTCACGTTCTCGTTCAAAATAGTTTATCAGGGAAGCAACAAGCTCTTAGCTTCGACTGTTTAAATGCTTCAGAATATTTTCAACACGCAATTTCAAGAAATGCAATACAAAAACTCGAAAATTTAGTTCTTGAAAGAACTGTTCGTGCTTAAAACTACAATTTTAAAAAAAAGACTATAAAAATAGGCAAAACCCGAGAATGACTCACAAAGATTCAACAACAACACGATATTATACAAAATAATGACTGACATTATGATAATTGTTAAATAATAAACGACGACGTTGCTGAACACGGCACAATGTGACCAACATAGTGATAATAAAATTCGGTTTAAACTAATTTCTGCAGCTTTAATCTAAATAAAATATCTATTACAATCATTTGCTCTATAAAGTAAAATGAAGAGCTGCTCGGTATCTTCAATTATACCACAAATTTAAACATTTTTGCCGAAATTTAATTTAGTCAGGTTTATAGGCTTTAGTGTCAATTGATGACGTGCATCGGAAAATGATTTGCGATTACTGTACATTGTATTATTGTTGTATTATTTATAGGTTTTGGATGAAACCATGAACATAGACCAGTTCGATTCATTCAAACGGGCCGATGTGTACGCTTTGGGGCTGATTTTCTGGGAGATAGCCCGGCGCTGTAACGTGGGCGGTATCTTTGACGAGTACCAGCTGCCCTTCTTCGATGCGGTACCGTCGGACCCCACCATCGAAGAAATGCGACGGTAAGTACAGCATATTTTCTCTATATTATTTTTCCGTGTTGCTTCTATATAGTTAGATAATTCTGTAGTTCATATCAAATAAACTTTTAGTCACGTGATTAAGCTTGTAGAATGTAGAATGAGTAAAAGGGGGGGTTAATCATTTACGACCTTAAAGATCTATTGTACCTCCCTTACTTGAGTCATCACACAATCTATAACCCATCATACCCCTGTTGTAGAGGGGACAGGGTATTTCCCATCCTCCTCTGACAACAGTTCTTCCTCCGAGGGTACACACCCTGCCACGGTTGGAGTTTGGCCCTCCGTGCCGCTCTTCACAGTCGAGGAGCTTGCCTCCGGCTGAGGAACCCGTGAGGTGGAGGATCTGTCTCCATTTTCTCCACCTCTTTAACTTTGTCTCTCCTTAGACCTGATACCGGTGTTGTCCCGTATCTATAATAGAGGATATGTCTCTCTTTCTCTATTGCCTCCTTGGATTTGAGGTCAATTCCTATTGTGAGGACCTGACCATGACCCTCCTCCCTCGAGTTGATGACTCGCCAACTCGGTGTCCTTACATTGAAGTTCTGACCTTGGATAAGGCTAAGCAGGTAGGTGGTGTCTTTCCCCTTGCTCCTCGGCAGAAAGACCGTTATGGCCGACCCTTTAGCGATGTTTTCTCCGTTCACTGCAACCAGTTCCGGCCCTTGCCAATGTTTAAGCTTAGGTGCGATTTCCACCAACCAATTCGCCGATTCTTGAGATACACAATCTATGAGGATCATGCCCACCCGAAAGTGTATCCCCGCAAAACGCAGCTGACCCACATTTTGTAGATCGTTGTGTTGCAATCCGATCCCCACTACTTCGTCCAGTATAACCTGTTCTACAGACGTTTGCTGGTCGGTGGTCAGAGCAACCTCTGGGAAATCCTTTGGCAGCACCGCCATTTTCACTTGTCCAGCAATAGCGACAAAGCTGATGATACGTCTCTGCTTGCCGGAGAAGAAGTGAGAGGTTCTCGCTTCCTCTCTTACCCTTTGATGGAGATGAGTTAGGTTGTTTCTTGGTTTCTTTACTCTTCTCTTTTTGGAGGAGTGTTTTGTCTATCTCCGTGTTTCTGCTCCGCTAAGACCTACTCTCAGGGGATCGTCTAACTCGCCTGGTTGACCCAGGCCGGGTAGACGGAACTGTAGCGTATGTCGCTTATTGGGTCTAGAGGCAAGCTCCCGACCCTTGCTGGAGAATGTGGTAGCTTGTGTGCCACTTGTGGAGGATGATCCCAAGCAAGTGTCAGCCGCCCCTCCTGTAGTTTCCTTTGGATTTGGTCCCTTGGAACTTTCATTTGTAATGTTCCCAGTGTCGCTAGGGGACTTCCCCACAGCTTCACCGGTGGTGTTTTTAATACTAGATCCCATAGTGTTCCCACGAGTCGCTAGGGATAGCCGGTCCACTTCTACAGAGCCCCGCATGCAGAAGTAAGGGGTAAATACAAGGGGGTGCCCCCTGATGCCCCAAGGTTGAGGCACAGAATATCTAGCTACGCAACAGAAGCCTCGTTACATGTATAAAATCGTAGGTCTCAAAAGGAGACAGGCTTTAAAAGCCTGTCTCCAAATCAGATATTTTGATGCGGTAGTTTCACTACTACATAACAGAGGGCGATAAATTTAAAAGAAAACAGTTTTCTACAAACGAAATTTAAAAGAATTTTATGCAGTGTTGCCATTGTGTAATTTATATTATAATATTTCCTGATAAAGTCTAGCTTCAAATTTGCTACATCATTTAAACATATTAAAATAGATTAGAGCTCTTTTTTCAAACGTTTAAGTATTTAACTCGCCATGTTAGTTGGAGTTAAATCTTACGAGCTGAATTATATATATAAAATCACTTCCTGACGTTTGATTCTAACTGAATCCTGAATTTTGATTGTAATTCGGCGTCAACATAATAAGTATTGTTCTACTATTATGACACCATTTCCTGACGTTCGATTGTGTTCATACCGTATGATCGGGAAAAAACGGCGTTAGCGATGGCTATGAAATGAAAATCGCTGTCATTTTATGTGTAAATTTATATGGGAAATGTCATCGATCGTCTATTCCCAGCCAACTGGACGCCGTTTTTTCGGTATCGTACGGTATTTGATATATACTTGCGTATTTTTCATGACATTGCAATATATGGTACCATGAAGCATATCAAGTGATACCGTAATATTGTACCTTATTACGATACATGGCGTTCGATTGGGCTTAAACTTGGTATATTACGTATCTTCAGAGATATTGTAATATTATGGTACCATGAAGCGTATCAAGAGGTACCATAATAGTACATAGAGGTACCATATACGATAGAGGTACCATATACGATACCATTTCCTGGCGTGCGATTGGACTTATACTTGGTATAGTAAGTATCTTCGATGACATTGTAATATGATGGTACTATGATGCATATAAAGTGGTACCTTAATATAGTACCATATTACGATACCACTCCCTGACGTTCGATTGGGCTCATATTTGATTATACTTGCGTATTTTTGATGACATTACAATATTATGGTACCATGAAGCATATCAAGGGGTACCATAATGTAGTACCATATTACGATACCATTTCCTGGCGTTTGATTGAGCTTAAACTTTGTATACTACGTAATTTCGGTAACATCGTAATATGATGGCACCATGGAGCAAATAAATTGGTACCTTCTATAGTACCATATTATGATACCACTTTCTGACGTTCATTTGGGCTCATATTTGATATATACTTGCATATTTTTGATGACATTGCAATATTATGGTACCATGAAGCTTATCAAGAGGTACCATAATAGTACCATATACGATACCATTTGCTGGCGTTCGATTGGGCTTAACTTGGTATAGTAAGTATCTTCGGTGACATTGTAATATGATGGTACTATAATGCATCTACTATGATGCATATATAAAGTGGTACCTTAATATAGTACCATATTACGACCACTTCCTGACGTTCGATTGGGCTTATATTTGATTATACTTGCGTATTTTTGATGACATTACAATATTATGGAAGCATGAAGCATATCAAGGGGTACCATAATGTAGTACCATATTACGATACCATTTCCTGGCGTTCGATTGGGCCCAAATTTGATATACTTGCGTTTCTTTATAAAGATTTGTTTAATTAATAATTTTAATTTATTTTATGAATTTTAATTTATTGTACGATGTCGGTGACAGCAACTTTTATGCTTAAGTAATATATTATTAATTGTACCTGTGTCACTTTTTAAAATCTACCTAGGTCTATATAAATAACGTGGCAAACAGAAAAAAATTGTTATTATAGTATTTTTTAGTCAATTAACATTTTTTGTACTGCATTTTAATAAATCGTTTCCATTATTATTAAACGTATATTTCATTACTAACGTTTCAGCATTAATAAATATCACTATCAATCGCCCTGTATATTATTAATTTTAAAGGTAGTTAAAGTTATTTTCTTAGTTAACATAATAAAGTAGTGTAGATATATTAAAAATGTATTTTGAGAGCATATGTTTTCTAATAATATACTTAAAATTAAAACTATTTTAAAAGCCAAACGAATAATTAATATAAGTGTATCTGACAAGAAACGAAGAATAGAAAGGAATTATTATACACCAGAAAAAGAATGGGATGCCAATTAAAGTCTGTTTGAATCTGGCAACTGTGCATTTTTAGCCGAGCTTCAAGGCCGTCGACGTGCCGTCGATCTACGTCGATCCAAAACCGAAAGTTGAAAATTTCCAATTATATTCTGATTATGATATTGTCGCGCCATCTAGTATTTTATTTGTGCAATTTTAGCTCTTTCATTTCGAGTATTTTTCTGTTGCGTAGCTAGATATTCTGTGGTTGAGGCCAGTAATGGCTAGTCCTCTATCTAGCCACGCATCCCTTTGACCTGGTCCCTCCATCATAGGATTTAGGTTTTTGGTGAGGTTGTCTCCTCTTGGTCCAGGCGGTTAAGTCAAGATCCCCCCACACCCTTTACCCGCGTGACATGACCACAGTCAGTAGAGGGTGCCTAGTATGACAGACAGTGGTAGCTCCTTCCGGCATCGTTATGTGTCTTGGTGCAATTCCCTGGCCACGACACTACAACCAGGACTTTTTTACAGCGGTGCTACCACCTGAATCCCCAGCGGGAAATCTAATATCCATGGTTGGCAACAATGAATTTATAAATCGCGCCTTCGATGATGTAACTAAAAATTTAATTGGTATCGACTATATATCTGTGGGTGTATTAAATAATGTCTAACTTTTTTTTCATATTCTTTCAGGGTGGTATGTTTCGAACGTCAAAGGCCCAACATCGCCAACCGTTGGCAGTCCTGCGAGGCTTTGCACGTCATGTCCAAACTGATGAAGGAGTGTTGGTATCACAACGCGACTGCGCGACTCACCGCGTTGAGGATAAAGAAGACCTTGTCCAACTTTCGGGCATCGGAAGAACTAAAAATGTAGACTGGGATAGTGAATTGTTTCCCCCGTTTCTTTTTGTTTATATATTGTGGCGCCTTAACAATTTTGAGGACGTTCTTTAGTTATAAATTAATATATTCTATAATAGTGATCTTCAAGGAGTATTAAAGTGATATGTTTTCGGTAGAGTTGAGGAGACTCAAAGAAAGGTTGAAGTAAGGATGATTGGTTGCTATTTAGAGTGGATGGAACCCACATAGTACGCTGTAATGTACAGGGTGTTATACTTTGAAATACCCCTAGATAATATTATACAGGGTCGCTTTTGTGTATGGAAACGGTCGATTATTAGGTAAAATATAGGAGGTACCGCAAAAAGTTAAATACAAAAGTTATAGGGTTTATAAATATCTATTAGCGGGTAATAAATTTAAGTACACAGGGTCGATCATAAAGTCGTGGCACATCAAAGTTTCATTTTTTTAAATGGTACCCCCTGTATTTTATTACATATTTCAATTCTTCCTTCAATTCTAAGCAAAAATCGAAATACACACAATGTACCGCAAAGCAACCGTTTCCGAGCTATTGACTTTTGAAAATATCACTTAAATAATTCGATTTAATTAATTTCGATGTGTTTGGTTTGATTCAATGATGCCATTCTGCCGAAACTGTGATACTGTTATAATGGGCTTTTAAATGCCTATTGGCTGCTAGTAAATTTAAGTATACACGGTCGGTCATAAAGTTATGTCTCATCAAACTTTATTTTTTTAAATGAAACCCCCTGTATATTATTGCATATTTCAACTCTTCCGTCAATTTTAAACAATAATCGTAATACCCAGTGTATTTAACTTAAAGAATTGAAATGTTAAACGAAAATTTTGTAATTTCCACAGACTTGCTTATACTCTCATTTTATACATCTATAAGCGCTAACTTGAGAACTAATATCAAATATTATTAAGTATCACAGATTCGGCAAAATGGTATCGTTAAATGAAACTGAATATACGAAATTAATTAAATCAAATTGTTTAAGTGATATTTTCAAAAGTCAATAACTCGGAAACGGTTGGTATGAGGTACATTGTGTGTATTTCGATTTTTGCTTAGAATTGAAAGAAGAACCGTAATATGCAATAATATACAGGGGATTTCATTTAAAAAAATGAAACTTTGATGTGCCACGACTTTATGACCGACCCTGTATATTTAAATTTATTACACGCTAATAAATATTTATAAACCCTATAACTTTTATATTTAACTTTTTGCGGTACCTCCTATATTTTACCTAATAATCGACGGTTTCCATACATAAAAGCGACCCTGTATAGTCTAATGATCCTATATACTGAGTGGTTAAATCTATGTCCCATAAGTTATTACATTACACACATAATTTGTTGTGTATTTCTTTAATTAAATACGAACATTCCTAATCTAAAAGAAGAAATATTTTTCAAGCTACAGTACTGATATTTTTTTCTAGAAAGTTGTTTAGTAAACAAAATATTCAGCATAAAAGTACATAATACAATGTAATATTTTCTTGGGTTATTTTAAGTTATACACCCTGTATATATGGACTGTTCCGTTTGGCTTACCCGTATCTGCTCCCATTCCATCAAACCTTGTAGCAAAAATAGTTTATTATATACAAATACAAATACTTTCCACAAATATTTAAGAGATCGCCCTGTATATTGTTTTCCAGTACCTCAGACTTAGGTTTTTTTGTTTTTTTACTGATTTTTTTTTATTTTTTACCTCGATATACAAAATAAGCAGAGTTGTGCATTTTTTGTCTGTGTGTTTTTTTTTTGGTTAGGTTGCAGTAAAATGTTTTACCGTAAAATAATATACCGTGCCAAATAGAAACTAACTCATTTTTTATACAATGTGAGCTAAAAAGTTTTGGAATAAAACATTGTTGAGTTTTTTAACAAAAAAAAAACAAAAATGTTCTTTAACATATAAAAAACATTTTAGTTATTTTTACTATCCAACAACGGAAGTTTCTATAAATTTCTGCCATGACAGTTGTGAAATGACATATGTCAAAATTATTTTCTTGGTTATCAGGAATCCTGAATTCATTCTGTATAAACTTTTTGGCATGCACTGTATTTGTATATAAACAAAAATCTCAATTTTTTTAAAAAGAAATAAACTCTGGTTTATGAAATACTGTAGAATATTTAATGTTTCTTTTGCTTATATACAGAGTGTTTAAATATTTCCGCGAACATAGAATTACTGCGTATTTATGAAATCAAAATAAATTCATTGGTCACAATAATTTACCTTTATAGAAAAGTTTTTATTAATTTACCTTTATAGAACACATTTTTTCAGATATTTTAAGAACCTTTATTCCAATTTACGAAGAAATTTATATTATGTACTTGTTCTTGGGACACCCTGTATAATTTAATATGAAACATTAAGTAAAAATATAATATTTTTATAAGTCAGCGAATTACACAATTCAAAAAGTTCCTAAAATGAAAAATTTTACTGCAATCTACTAAAATAACTAAGATATTTATTTAGTTCCAAAAACCGCCAAATATACGCAATAGAGTCAATTTTTCTACACAGAAACAAAAATATATTCCTAAACTACTAATACACACAAACACAGATACAAACACAAAAAATAATCTAGAAAAAAAATAAGATAAAAAAAGACAGCAGATATTTTTTTAAACTATTCTTTTATACCCTACAGAAAAAGAGATTGAAAAAACTGAACCTATATACAAATATAGTTAATAAAAAAAGGCCTCAAAACATATAAGTTATCCTTACAAAAGAATGTTTATAATATACGTAACAAGACACAGATATTTATATTAAGTTTAAATTTTTCATAATTATAAGAAGTAGTAGCTAGATTATAGCCTTTAAAATTAACATACCTGAACCTATTTTTTTTTCGTAGAGGGTGTAAAAAACGGTCACCCTGTATATATACACAGCGTGTGTATTGTTATAATCTCTACATAGAGACGCACTGTGTATATAAAATATTTTTTTTTCAACTGTAATATACTTGTTTATTTCATAGAATCTATGATATATTAAGGACTGTACAGATTTTTTTTTATTGATATACTTTTTTTACCAACACTGTTTCATTTTTTGATTCTTTCATATTTAGATCGTTCACTAGTCATTTCTAAGGTTTTGGTTAGAGTTACGTAGCCTTAAAGCATATATACAGAGTGTGGTGTCTTTTTAAGCAATATAAAGACAGAAAAAATATATATTTTTGATTATTCAGGCACCATGTTTGTTTATATAATATATTGGGTGATGCACGGCGATGGTACGTTTATGGAATTTGGATTTTTGTATAAAGGTACCTGCTCTATCTGTCTAAATTATTTTCACCGTTACAGTGTTGCCGCGTCGTACTAAAAGGAATCCTTGTTATTTTAAATGGAACACCTGGGATATTATTACATTTTTTCGAAACTAAATTTATACCGCATAATTTTTCTATTATACTACCTATCTCTGATATTTTTCGAGATAAAAAATAAAACATGGGTAAAATTGACAAAAACATGATCTTAAATAAGCATTGATTAAATCATAAATTGGGCATATTGAAAGTTAAAATTTGGTTTATAGGTTAAGGAAAGTCGACATCGCCGGTTCTCCATAAACGTCTTACTTTAAATCGCCGGGAATCACCCTATATAATGCCCTGTTTTAACTATAGTTTTTTTGTTTATTAAAAAAAACATATGGTTAAATGTCTGAAAGGTAAGAGTGGATGGGTTTTTGTAGTTCCTAAGTGATGAATAGGGTTAAAATGTTTTTGTATGTTTGTGAGAGATAAGAGTAATGTTTCATTCACTATGTTCACTTGAAAGCAAAAAAATAAAAGTGGTACGGTACTTTTTACTTTCCCCGGTATATAAAAAGGCTGATTAGGGAAAAAGTAATGTAAAGATGGTGCTTCGTCTAGAAATGTGTAGATTTTAAGGATAAGGGATGGTGTGATTTTTTTGTGCTATTTGAAAAGTTATTGTAATTTAATATTTTTCTAATTTGTTAAAATTTAATTGGTAATTTCTAGGGGTATAAAAAAATAAAATGTTTTTTGAATAGGAAGAGCTGTATAAATTTTGATATAGGCTAGGGTTTTACCTGGGAATTTAAAAAGTACCCAAATCACGTTCACCGTTTTGTACAAACTACTCATACATTTTTTTACCTTAAATATATAAATATTAAAAAAATCTTACGTAGATTATATAGATTTAACACAGTAGGTTAGGACTAGACGTAGGAAAGACGTTTTTTTTGCAAATAGAGAAAAAAAGAAAGTTATGTTAGATTTAAAAATGTTTTTTAACGATATTTGCCACAGAATTGAAACACTTTTAAAGACAGATAATAGTCTCTATATATTTTTTTATTATTCGGATTTTTTGTTTCACTTACATAGCACACCCTGTACGTTTTGATATTTTGGTGAAAATATAAGAAAATGATGTCATAATAGGCATTGAAACTTTTCTGATAGTGATCCTGATATATTTTAAGTATTTTAAACTATAAAGCAGCGTCTACACATAACGTTTTACATGTCAGGTAGGACGGATTAAGATCTCTAACATATACGCTGGATGTTTTTCCTGCGGTTTTATCAACTATAGCATTGTTTTTAGTGAAATTGAAAGGAAAAAATATAGACTTTTACTACAAAATTGTATTTTTGGTTTAAATTTCATTTGTAAACAAGCAAATCTAATTGTGAAAATCATATCGATTATTAAATATCTCTGGAACTCTAAAATGGACCGTTTTGAAAACATGTAAGACTGACAGGTAAAACGTTATGTGTAGATGGGACTTTAACTTACAATATTATAAAAAAAATAAATTGTTTTGTTAAAATATTCATTAAAAATATACAGGGTGTGCCTGTAACGTGAGCATACAAATAAAAACGTATAATCATAAAAAAATAATATACTGTAGCCATAAAAAATGTTTTCTTAAAATTTTACTGTATTTTCGTCATTTATTATAAAATTTTAAATTTATGGTTTACTTTATATTAATTTATGGTTAATACGGTTACGTACATAAACTAAAAAAAAGACTGAACATTGGATAAGTTTAATTATTTTTCGTTATTAAGGAATTAACATCATTATAAAAATTTGTGCTTTTTGTTCTGGTATTTTACTTTAAACGCGCACTAAAAAAATATTACTGTAACCTTAAAATAGGATTAGAATTTAAGATAAATGTTGTTTAAGTACGATCCGTTTATATCAGTTTTTTAATCAGTTAAATGATTGATTGGAAAAAAGGAAATTAAGTTGAATAGGAAGGGAGTTTTTTATTTATGAAAATGAAGCAAAAGTGTTTGGTTAGGCCTAAAACGATTAAATATATATAAAAAAACTAATATAGTCGGATTTTAAGAAGTTAAGAGATAAAGAGATGTCTTTGTGTCGTTGAATTTTATTGTTCTACTTGTCATTTTGTAAACAAAACAAAAAAAGATTGTAAATATTTATGTAGAGTTTAGTCTGGTAGCTTTAGGTTTTTTTGACGTTTGAAAAAATTAAAGGGTTAAACTTTTGACAAGGTTTGGTTCTGTTTGACAATAAAAAATCTATAGTCAAATAAAAACAAACTACATTAAAAATTTTAACCTTACATTATTTTTTCATTTTTACGTGGAATTTTGTCTAAAGTTACTGGACTAAAAAAGCCGTTATAATAATGATGTCGCGTATGGAACTATTTTTGAATAAGAGATAAAACTACAATAGAGATGTTCTTAAAATGGTACAAATTCAATGTCAAGAGTTTTATACATTTAAACAGAGAGCTGTAGAAAGAGATAGGTCGAGTTGATGTGTAATTTCTTTTGCCAAAAAACAAATCAGTCATACTAATTCATGTTTTCTTTTAAAAAAAAAATTGATGAAAAAATTCACAGTCAATATACAAACACTGCCATGTAATGATTCCTACCACTCTCAAGATTTTTTTGAAGAATTTTTACAGTACTTCTTGACAATGTTCTTTTTTCTGTCCAGTATGATCATAAATAAATTAATTTATACAGGGCGTGTGAGGAAAAACGCGAAAAAAATTAAGGGACGATTCATTGTTAAAAATAGAGGGTGCTTAGTTAGACAGGGTGTTCCTTAATGCAAGTGTGTGATTCTTGGACCTATTCTAAGAATAAAACCTCAAGTAAATGTATGTCTTAAACATATCTTAACTTTTGAGATACAGGGTGGTAAAACTTTCTAAAAGAACCTTTTTTTCATAACTCTGATGTTACTACATCTTTATTAATTTCGATACTCTCATCATCTATGCATCAAAATCAAAATACTTTTTTTGATGATCAAACAATTTTATTTATTTCAAGTCAGTGACTATTTTATATTATCACTGTATACGGGTTTTATATTGAATATTTTTGAAAAAAAATAGTACGCCACTGACTTTTCTTAAAGTAAACATTATTTTCAAAATCATCGTTCAAATAATTTTTATCGTTTTGATTGTTTTCGTTCGGCGCATGATTTTGGCTTAAAAAAAAATAAAGTTGTTTTACTTCAGGGCCAAATCGCTAAAAATATATGTAATAAAATCTATAGGTGACTGTAATGTTGTGTGGAAATATTTTCTGCATCGCCTGGAAGGAAATTAAGAAATAGAAGAATTTTTTACATAAAAAAATGCATTTTGATGCTCAGAAGACTAGTACCAAATTTCATAAATTTATTTGTAATAACATCAGAGTTGTTATGAAAAAAACTTTTTTTTAGATAATTTTTACCACCCCGTATATCAAAAGTAAAGTTGTTTAGAACATACATTATTATGGACATAAAAGTACAGTATTATGGAGGTTTTTTTCATAAAATAGGTAGGGTTTTTTTTTAAAATTTGTAGACAAATGTAAAGTTAGTTTACTTTTTGAAAGATAATTTATCACGAGATTGAGAAAAAACGACGTCATAGAAGGCAAAGATAGAATAAAAATTGCGCCTTATTACCACCAATAGAAATGATTTTGACTCTAGACTAGAGATAAACAAATTTATCTATGATCATAAGCTATTTCCAAAAAAAAACGTGTTTTGGTATGACTCGATTTCAGAGATTTCAGTAGATGTCAAAAGAAATTTAGAGAGAGACAATGACAGATGACAGAAGCTGTAATCTCACAAAGACAACTGAAAAGTAATACAATTTTCCTCAGGATGAAACCTAGATGTACACACAAAATGCAATAGATTTAAACCGTAGCTTAGTTAGACTCTTAGGACGGTTTTTTTAACCCTTGGTTAAAACATTCATACCTGAAACCTTGTTTAAAAAAACGGCCCTAGAGTAAAAGTAGTAGAGATGTAAAAATTTAAGAGTACGGATTAAGAAAAAAGCTTTATTTAATAATAATTATTAATATAATTGACTAATTGTTAAGGATGAGATAAGAAACCGTTTTGATTTGTTGTAGAAGTTTAAACTGGTTTGTTGGTTTAACAGAGAAAACTTTGGATGCATGGTCCAAGATCTCAGGGTAGTTAGACCTTACTTATTTCCTCACAAATAAAATATATGCGATCTGGCGGCCCTGGGATCTTGCTCTAACAAGCTCTTAGATTTTTAGAGGGAAAGATTAAAAGAAGTAATTCGGTTTTGTAATAGTTATATGTTTTTATTTTGTTTAAATTTGTGTACAGTTGTTTTTAATTAAGGCTTAGAATTATATAATATTTACTTATATCAAATGTAAACATATTTGCAAATATATTAATACTTAAAACATGATTGGTTTTATTTCATTCAACATAGAAAATAAGATGGCCTAATATATGCTCTACAATATATATATCCTATTTAAAAAAAGCGTCCATTATTCCCAAAGAGACCTGCTTTATAAATCCAAAAGATTTGAGTCTTTTTGTTTCTTTTGGATGTATATCCTATCCTAAAAGAAAATTAAATAAAGAACACCTATTAAGAAATGGTAACTCATAATACACCTCTATGTATTACTGGTTGCGAGATAAATTTTTAAGACGAATTTTTCTTACACCGCCTACTTTATTTTATATTCAACAAAATAATAAATTATTGACATATCAGGTTAAAAATTACGACAAAATAGTGCAAATTTAATTCTGGTGTGGCAAATTTTAGCTCATTTACTTTAAACGAATTTTTCCTATGAATATACGGCAAAATATTCGACTCTAGCAATTCGACCTCGTTTTCAAACTTCAAAAGGGCATAACTCCCAAACCCTTAGCCTTAGGGGAAAAAGGTATTAGGGTTTTCGATAGGGAATTCAATTCTCTATCTGTATGCAAAATTTGGGATTTTTTGGGCGCACTTTAAAAAAGTGGCCAAAAATTTTCTAAGGGTATAGCCTTAGAAAATTTTCGCCCCAAAAAATAAAGTACGTCCAAAAGGGCCCAAATTTTGCATACAGATAGAGAATTTAATTCTCTATCGAATGCCGTAAAGATCGGCTCATTAAGTTAATTAGTTTTCGAGTAATTAGCGTTTTTATAAAATAATCTAACCCTTCGAGCTCGTTGGCCGGGTTCAATTAATTTTTTAATAATTTAAATTTATTTTTCTAAAATATTTTCCTTCACCATTTTGTCAAGAAAATGTTTTGAGTTGCGTGAAAAATTTTGCTTGTTTTTGACGAAATGTTAAATAATATTTCAACTTATTGGTGATTATAGTCAACCAGTAATAAAAGTTTGTTAAAATTTCTTGGTGTTCATATTATTTGATCAAGTTTTGGAATAAATTTCGTAGGTATTTTTAGAAAATAAAACACAATGTTTTTATTTCAAAATCGCTTTAATAAAAAGTGATTTAAATTAAAAATAAGCATAGAACATGTTACAAAAATATAATAAAAGGAACTTTGATATTTTATTTCAAACATAATATACAGGGTAAAATAATTTTCTTTAACAATTAATCTTAATAACACCATTGTACTTTCATGCCTTCAGTAAACCTATTTGAAGTAAATTTGGCTCATCCCTATGTTGTGTATCTCTTGAAGTTCGATCATTCCAAATATATTCTGTATAGATTTTCAATCTGGAGCACCTGAAAAATAAATAAACCTAATGTAATGAATGTAAAAAAGTCTGTCCAATAAGACAGGGAAAATTTCGACAGACGATATACAAAAAGTGACAGAAAATACAATGTACCTTTGCAGTAAAATGACAGAAACTATAACTGTCTCTGTCAAGTTTTGATAGATCTCATTGAACAGACGTAACAAAATATTAAGACAAAGCAAGGATGGGCGAGTAAAAATCCCTTACGGTAAAAAACTATTTATTACATGTAAAAAACTATTATTTTACCAGTAAAAAAATTTTTTACATGTAAAAAACTTAATTTTTTACGTGTAAAAAACTATAATAGTCTCTATCAAGTATTGATATTTCTCATTGAACAGACGTAACAAAATATTAAGGCAAAGCAAGGATCAAGGATGGGAGAGTAAAAAACACTTACGGTAAAAAACTATGTTTACATGTAAAAAATTAATTTTCTACGTGTAAAAACTAATTAACTATTATTTTACCTGTACAAAACTAATTTTTTACATGTAAAAAACTATTTTTTACGCGTAAAAAATTAATTTTCTACGTGTAAAAACTAATATTTTAAGTTGATTTTTGCATATTATGAAAACGTAAAAAACTACATAAACAGATTCCTAAAGTTTGGTAATCAAAATATAATATTCCTTACTTCAATCACTGAGCAGGGGAGATCCAATATAAGCGCCTCTCTCCCAACAGTACGCAATCACAGACCTCCAATGCACGTCGGAGCTCAACACTGCGGGGTTGCCAACCACCACCAGCAAAGCCTTCGGCCGAGATATGGCAACGTTGAGCCGCTTAGGGCTGGCCACAAAGCCCAGCGAGTGTTCCAGGTCGCGCGACACGAATTCCTCGCCAGATCTGACAGTTGACAGCAGTATAACGTCAAATTCTTGACCTTGAAAGTCCTCGACGGTTCCGATTTTGGGCACGTCAAAGTCGGCTTCTTTCAACAGTCCTCGTATTTCGCGCACTTGTTTCGTGTACGGGGTGATGATACCGACGTTGTCAGATTTAAGGCCGAGCCGATAGAGTTCGTTCAGGTAGAAAAAGACTTGGGCTGCTTCGTGGGGGTTATACCTGAAATAAAATAATACCAATTAGTCTATATACATACGACAAAGATAAGAATATATCAGCTAACAGACAGAGAGACATTTATATATATTTATCTTTATTTATTATATTTATATTGTTATACTTTAAATCATTTAATTTATCAATATCTCTTGCTAATTGTAATAGAGAATTACAATTAATAGCCGTTCAATAGAGAATTAAAATCTGTTTGTAAAATTTGAGCAATCTTAAAATTTGCATCAAAATTTTTGAAGTCTTTCATGATTTTCTTTTGCCTTTATTATATTGTTCTAGTTTCAATATGTAGTCAATTAATTAGTTTTTGGGAAATTATATTTTTTATAGAAATTTAATTTACCAACCTTTTTAAAAAAAAACGCCACCATTTTGTCAGGAATATTGATTTTTTTTGGACTGTATACTTTGTTACAGAATTATTATTTATTATAAAGTAATAAAATAGCATCTGAAGCTATCAGTTATCTGTTATTAAAAGCCTTGTTATACTCTTGTTGATTGTAAATTTTTTAAATAAACTCTTTTTTTAACCTTTTTTAAATAAACGCCTTCACCATTTTGTCAGGAATGTTGATTTTTTTTGGACTGTATACTTTGTTACAGTATTATTATTTATTATAAAGTAATAAAATAGCATCTGAGGCTGTCAGTTATCTATTATTAAAAGCATTGTTATACTTTAAATCATTTAATTTACCACTAACTCTTGCTGATTGTAAATTTTACTCATCATTTGTTATATCATTATTTTTTATATCTTGAAAGCGCTTTATCTCTATAATTAAAAGAGATATTAAAGTGCAGTTTTATCCGTTCAATAGAGAATTAAAGTCTCTGTCTGTTTGTAAAATTTGAGCCCTCTTAAAATTTGCAATCAAAATTTTTAAAGTCTTTGATAATTTTTTTGGCATTTATTATTTATTATATTGTTCTAGTTTCAATATGTAGGCAAGACCGCACCGCTATATTAATTAGTTTTTGAGAAACTATATTTTTATATAGAATTTTTATTTACCAACCTTTTTTAAAAAGAAACCCTTCACCATTTTGTCAGGAATATTTATTTTTTTTGACTGTATACTTTGTTACAGTATTGTTATTTATTATAAAGTTATAAAATAGCATCTGAATCTGTCAGTTATCTATTATTAAAAGCATTACTATATTTTAAATCATTTAATTTGCCACTAACTCTTGCTCATTGTAAATTTTATTCATCATTTGTTAGCTTTAAAGCACTTTATCTCTAAAATTAAAAGAGATATTAAAGTGCAGTTTTATCCGTTTAATAGAGAATTAAATTCTCTATCTGTTTGTAAAATTTGAGCCCTCTGAAAATTTGCAATCAAGATTTTTAAAGCCTTTGATATTTTTTTTTCATTTACTATATTGTTCTAGTTTCAATATGTAGGCAAGACGGCACCGCTATATTAATTAGTTTTTGAGAAATTATATTTTTTTATAGAATTTTTATTTAAGAAATTTTTTTAAATAAGCGCCTTCACCATTTTGTCAGGAATATTGCCCCCCCAAGATTGTTTCTGTATATAATTTTATTTTAATGTACATACCATGATGGAGAATCTGGCGTTTGAAAATTTTCACCATCCACACTGTGGAACACCACAGAAGGCACTTTTCCAGTCCTGGTTTTAGGTAAAATCGAAGCCAGAGAATTTAATAGTACAGCTTCTCTACTATCTTCGTCTGATATCTACAAAATAAAATAAAATATTAAATGATTAATAATTAATTATAACAAACTATTTATAATGTTTTAACATTTAGTTAACGTCTTCTTTTTGCTGTTACAGATAACCTCTACAGGAAGCCAAATTTCTGAGATGGAGCTATACAAAATCCACATAAGTCGGTCCTTTTCGTTAACATATATATTAACATAACAGCTTTGAACTACGCAAGCGTGAGAAGTCCTTCGCGATTAGTTGATTTATTTCATACTAACCGATAGAAGTAGTTTTCTAAGTTTCTATCTACCACGTAAATAAATTTAGCGTCTGACTATTCGCGCCTTTACTTATAAATTTAAATTTAATCTCTGACATATTTAAACAAAAACAAGAAACGGATAGATATGATGAATATCTAAAATAACAGGTTGAAATAATGCCATTACCGATAAAAAAATAATATATTATACGTTATTAATATTTAGAATTTAAAATAGTACGCGGGCAGGTGATAGTGTTGATAAAATAGACGAACCATAGACTTAAAATAAAATATAGACTGAGCATCTCATTCATAAATAGCTGGAACATGCGGTCAGACACTGTCTTGTTATTGTTGTGTTATTGTTTTAGGTTATAACGAGTGCGACACGAGCGATAAATAGGTTGTCTCTGTCGTAACGGTCGTTCCCTGACGACTCTGCCGAGAAACACAACACTGTTTTTCGTTTCTCAAATACACCTGAACTCTCCGTATCATAGCCGGGTAATTTTTTTATTTTAATGAAGCTATAATTAAATTAAAAATATATCGTATTTAAACTTTTTTATATTTTATTAAGATTTAGTACAGGTTTTTTAAATAAAACTTTAGAAAAAACAATTTAGAGCCCAAAAAGGATAAAAATAATAAAATACACGTTATAGAAGAAATTTTATAATCGAAATTAGGTAATTTTTGAAATTAATAATAAATTATTGATTTTAGTCAAACATTTACAACCCCTAATATTAATCAAAGCAGGATCTATTCCACAGATATAATAGAATCGGCGACAGGGAGAGAAAAAAAAATATGATTGTTGTAATTTTTTTTCTGGTTAAGTGATGTCTTATTATGTAAATTAGAGAAAACATAAATCTGTTCCATTAAAGCAAGGAAGGTGATAGGAAGTGGATAAAATGAAAACTACATTTATTTAACTCGGTACTGTCTTTATTATACCGGGTGCGTCCCAAAAGTGGCTCAACCCCATAATTTTTTTATATTTTCAAATAAAAAAACAAGATTTAGTATGTTAGTATATGACATAAATTAGGATTGATTGACGCATTCAATTGTTTTTGGTCACTTTCTGTTTCACCGGAAATGACTATAACTTTTAATTTTTAAACGGCACCCTCGGTATATTTCTACTTTATTTGATAGAAAATGACACTCTGAATAGAATGACATATCATATGTCAACTTTTGACACTTTCGCATATGGTTTAATTGTAATTGTAACACGTGGTTCATAACGACAATTTGACTCGAAATACCAAGTGTGTGGTATCAATATATTCATAAAAAAATGCTTTTTCCAAATATGCTAACGAGTCACCCTTGTTCCATTTGAAAAAATTGACATATGTATGATTAAAAATATGATTTGTACATCTTTTAATCGGCCTAGACAAGACACGAAACCCATTAGACGATCAAAACTATTTTTCCAAGGCTCCTTGATTAAAACTTAGTGTTTTTAACAACACCATGGCACCCTGGATTGAAATTTATAATACGATTTGTTTTTAAGCGACAATGTCAAAAGTTGACATATGATATGTCATTCTATTCAGAATTCTATTATCATTTTCTATCGAATAAAGTAGAAATATACCGAGGGTGCCTTTAAAAATCAAAAGATGTAATCATTTCGGTGAAACAGAAAGAGACCAAAAACAATTGAATACGTCAATAAATCCTAATTTATGTCATATACCTACTAACATACAAATCTGTTTTTTTATCTGAAAAAATAAAAAAGTTATAGCGGTGAACCACTTTTGAGACGACCCGGTATATTAAAAAATATTGTCTCATAATGTAATATCATATTAAAATTCTTGTATGTTATTTTAGATTCTGAAGATAATTTTAGAATAAACCGGAATATATTTTTAATAAAAACATTATTAATTATTAACAGGGTTATAATTATGATTTTGTTACAATGTAAGTAAGTAAATAATGTAATATAAGAGAAAAAATTCAGATTTTACATTTTACTAAAATATTATCTAAATAAGCGCCTTTCTACAACAACGCCACTGACTCCCAATGGGTAAATTGAGAGTTGCCTACGGTCGAAAGTCGTTTCAAGACTTAAATGGATTATTTAAGTCAAATTTCTTGCAAATTTGGCACTGGCGAACCATATTTTATAGTTCTTGAACAGAAAAAGTCAATAAAATAAACACTTAAGGACTACAAACTAAGAAAATGCGTTAATACAGCCGGGGACATAGCGGCATCAAAGCTTTACCGCACACTTGCCACGCGTACTACAAGGTAATAAATGAATGAATAGGCTCCCTCGCCTCTAATCGGTGTTATCATATTGTAAAGAACTTATCCTTTTTAAACAGTATCCGACTTATAATTTAGTAGTATAAGGACTATTTAATACATCTATGGAATATTAAAACCTACTTTATTAAACTGTAGTTTAATATCTCAATATATGTGTATAACAAGAAAAAAAATATTGATAATATTAAAGACGTGACAACATAGGCTGGATGAGGAAGGCTCGGTCGACTGTACCCAGAAGTAAACATGTGTACAAAAAAGGTTGTTTGTCCGCGTTGAGATGTAAATAGTGTAGTCTATATTTTATTTTAAGTCTATGAGACGAACCAGATCGTTTTATTTAGCGCGTGCGCACAAAAATCCTGTTGAACCAAAAGGATAGACTTATGATACAAGATTGGTATTCCTATTTCTTTTCTTTGGCTTCACTTTCCACTCATTGCGTAAATGCGGTACTAGCAATATAGTCTTATAATATATTTGCCTCTGCGTTACAGGTATGCAATTTATTTTATATATAAAGTCAAACAAACAGCTGTTTTTCACAAAGATCTGATGATGGCTGGAATTGCCGAAACGGGTCACTAATAAAGAATTTTTTGACGGTGGTTTGGACTTTGATTAATGATTACTGATTTGACTTACCGTCGGTATCAATTCTCCATTGTAAAACAGTGAACTGAACATATTCAAAATAACCTCCATAGATCGATAGTTGTATAGCAATTTGGTGACTAATCTCGGGTCGAAGCCTTCGGATTCGGGAAAACCCTCTGTATCTCTGACATAAGGAAACCTGTTGAGCAATCTTTCCAAATAGGATTCATTGAGGCCACATTCAGATGCCACAGAGCATAAGACCACTGGTCCTAGTTGCATAGGATCACCTTAAAAGAAAAGAAAGACATATAGGAAGTGTTTTTCTTATTTTTTTTTGAGTGAAAAAAATAGTCGATTTTTTTATCCACCCTAATATACCTGCTAGGACAGCTTGACCGTTGTACTTGTCCAAAAAGGACAAGGCGATCATAACTTCAGATTCGGCAGCCTGTCCTGCCTCGTCTACGAAAATATGAGTGAAGTGACCGCGCGGGAAGTCCATCATGAAGAGTACGCCTGCGCTGGAGCACGTGGATACTGTTATCCTGTGTCGACCCAGTACAAATCTGCTACAATCTACAAGTAGAATATTTGATATAAAGAAAAAAAGTCTACGAAGTTGAAAAAAAATTCGAAACTTTTAGCAAATAAAAATATTAAGAAAGGAGCATATCAAAAATCTTAGATTTTTTAGACTCGACTAAAGAAATTACACATCAACTCGACCTATCTCTTTCTACAGCTCTCTGTTTAAATGTATCAAACTCTTGACATTGAATTTGTACCATTTTAAGAACATCTCTATTGTAGTTTTATCTCTTATGCAAAAATAGTTCCATACGCGACATCATAATTATAACGGCTTTTTAGTCCAGTAACTTTTTACACCAAATTCAACGTAAAAATGAACAAAATAATGTAAGGTTAAAATTTTTAATGTAGTTTGGTTTTATTCTTTGAATAAGAAGACTAAGGAAGGAGCGTATCAAAAATCTTAGGTCCACCGCGATGGGGCTCAAATATGGCCAACTTAAATTCCGGTTTATCAGTGCCGTTCAAATTTTATTCAAAACGTGTAAAAATATAATGTAGGCTAGACTCAATATTATATACAAAAAATATAATTTTATATACAATATAAAATTATATTTTTTTATGGAATTTTTATTTACCAACTTTATTTAAATAAACGCCTTCACCATTTTGTCAGGAATATTGATTTTTTCTGGACTGTATACTTTGTTACAGTATTATTAGTTATTATAAAGTAATAAAATAGCATCTAAAGCTGTCAATTATCTATTTATCTATTTAAATCATTTAATTTACCACTAACTCTTGCTGGTTGTAAATTTCCTCATCATTTGTTAGCTTTAAAGCACTTTATCTCTAAAATTAAAAGAGATATTAAAGTGCAGTTTTATCCGTTCAATAGAGAATTAAATTCTCTATCTGTTTGTCAAATTTGAACCATCTGAAAATTTGCAATCAAAATTTTTAAGCGAATTTCATAAATGATCAGTTTACTACACGTATGTCTACAAAGTGGCCCATCGAAAACGTTCCGCAAGGCATAACGGGCAGGGTATTTTTTTTTCAAAAAATTCAAAAACACGTCAATTTTGTTTGTGAAGGGGGCAATTTTCGCCTCAAAAATGATTGCAAAATCTTCAACCCTCTAAGCGGGGGTGTCATCCCCCAACTTTTTTCAAATGGGAAGGGGGTCAAGTGGCGCCGCAATGAAAAGAGCTTTCTATTCTCTATACTTCCCCGCTTCGTTTTTGAAAATCGGTCGAGTCATTGAGAAAATATGAAGGATTGAAATTTGAAAAGTTTATTTAAACATTTATCAGAGTAAATGATAAGGATAAATTCCTTCGACCAGTTTGCTGTTTTTTCATATTATTTCTAGATGTTTACGCATTTTTTACTTGCCACAAGGTTGGACGATCAGGTGCGGTAGTTGCTAGATAGCTCTTCTGTGACTTGTGCGTTGAAGTTCTTCTCAATATCGTTAAACTGACCCAAGGATACTATAGAGATAAGGATAGTTCGATTCCTATCTTCCTGCACTGTCAGTTTTTTTACGTCATCTACTGACCGAGTTGAAGTTGGCGCTAAAGATTTTAGACAGTGACAGTTATTTTTGCATTTGACGGACGAGCGCACAGTGCGTTGGAAGATAAATTTAGCGGGACAAAAGCGTTTGGTTAGAAATAAGCCAAAAAATGTGTACTGATAAGAATAAATAGTAGACATTCCAATTGATACAAAAATGCATGAATATTCTTTGTATTTCGATACATTTTTATCAACCAAATTTGGTCGTTTTCTGCTCAGCAAGGCAGAGATCATACGAAAACAAAATAATTACAAGTGCTTATACATTTTATTAGAAAGCCAAATTATGTTGAAGATTGCCAAAGGTATGTACTTTTCTACTGTACGTATATTATTTGTTAAAATCCTTCGTGCCTTTGTTCTGCAGATATCAAACTTTCACTTTTTTTTTCAAATATCGATATATTGAATGATGTAGATCTTTTGAGTTACCAATAGTTACCAGCACAGGTAGTTACAGTCACAGGGAGTTCAAGCTTAACAGGTGAATGCCCAAAAAGATTCATTTCAATCGGATGGTATAAAAACAAAACAACTCCATCAAAAGGCACTGAGTTTAAAAAATTGTCTTAGAAACTTACTATACATATATGAATTTACAAGTACCGAGTGTTAAAATTAAAATTAAAATATCTATCTTATTTATTATTTTTAAAATAAAATATATTTTTTTAAAATAAATTTTAGAGGGTGTCACAAGATTACAAATTAATTAAAAAAAACTGCTAAAGAGTTTTTTGATATCATAATTTTATGTATTTGGCAATAGTTTACAATACGGTTTTTGTGTGTCATGTACGAATAATATCATCTTGTATTTATTTATTAATAAATTAAGTTGTTAATAAATAAATAAATTTAACCATATAGTTGCTATATATTAGACCATTTGCTACGTTCTTAGATTTTAAGTCCCAAACATAGCTCTTGAGATTTTGTCCCGCTAGAATAACCATCCGCCGCACTGTGGAGCGCTGGTCAGCGCGTGACGTAGCATTCCACGGCGACTACGACAGCGGCGATTTGACGCGATCGAACAGTCCTTTAGAATATATACAGTCCTTGAAACTGACCTACAATAGAATTTCCAAAAATACCAGCCCACACGTTCAATTCCTGAGGGGTTTGTGTGTGCACCTCGTGAAAAACCCTGCGGTTGTCCTCAGCCCAGTACCGACAGTTTGTGCCGATTAACTACACCGTTCAAAAAGAAAGTACACTCGTCCGAAAAACACACATTAAATAGGAAATTATTATCATTCGCCACTCGTTCACTCATAGTTTCACAAAATTGCAAGCGACGATCAAAATCGTCTTCGTTGAGTTCTTGTACCAACTGAATTTTGTACGGGTGGAACTTGTCTTTTTAATTTCTTTTGGACACTTGTACGATTCCCGCCGGTCTCATGGGCTAATTTTCTTGTACTCAGCGTACTATCCATGGAAACTTGGCCCAATACGAATACCTCCATAGCTTCATTTACTACAGGATTTTCCATCTGCCTCTTTTTATTCATAACGGATCCAGTTTCGCGAAATTTTGCTACTAACTCGCGAACAATTTTGCCATAAAGGTGTTTGTCAGGATAGCGTTCATGGAATATGTGTGCAACCCGATACATTCATTATTTTTAAAATAAAGTTCGATTATTTCCACTTTTTCTGCAAGTGAGTAAACCATAATTATTAAAAAGTTTAACGATATTGAGAAGAACTTCAACGCACAAGTCACAGAACAGATATCTAGCAACTACCGCACCTGATCGTTCAACCTTGTGGCAGGTGAAAAAATGCGTAAACATTTAGAAATAATAAGAAAAAAAAAAGCAAATTGGTCGAAGAATTTATCCTTATCATTTACACTGATAAATCTTTAAATAAACTTTTCAAATTTCAATCCTTCATCTTTTCTCAATGACTCGACCGATTTTCAAAAACGAAGCAAGGAAATATAAAAAATAGAAAGCTCAAAAATAATGTTTTTATTTTTTATCTTGAAAACAAAAAGACTAATAAAATTTTATGGAAGCATTACTGTTATTTTTCCATTTATTTTTCCGCCATCTTTGTACCGCGATATCTCCCTAATGGTTGACTTTTGACCCAACGTTTATAAAGCAAACTACCCTTTATTTTGAACAAGGAATCACCCCCTAAAGTTTTTCGCATTTGTTTTGAAACACCATGTATATTTTATTTTTAATAATTTTAATGAATAGAAATGATATTTTCTTCTTACCTAGGAGCATGCCGTTTGGGGCCCTAATGTTCTCTTCGGCTGTGCCTTCCTTGGCTACGCTCCCTGTAGCACAATAAGGCACCAATTTCGGAGGAATTTGTTCGCCCAAAGCGTAGTTGACAGAAACTAGTCGTACTAAGTCACCGGGTTTAAGTACCCCCCAATCTATGGAGTTTAAAAAAAATACAAGATAGAGTTACACACGGTATTTCGGAAACTTCGGTAGCTATTGTGCAGATAAAAATAAGTAAAAAAGTTCCTATAAATGTATGTCCTAAAATGTTTAGTTTTGGAGATACAGGGTGTAGAAATTTCATTTTTATTTCGATTTTTTCCAAACAATTTATGAAATAACGTAATATTTGGATGAAAATTGGTGTCTGAGAGTTATTTGACATGATAAATTTGATTCTGACGTCAATATGACTCTTATTTGTAGGGGGCGCCACCTACATATGTTTTAACCTTTGAATAAGAAGACTATGGAAGGAGCATATCAAAAATCTTAGGTACACCGCGATGGGCCTCAAATATGGCCGACTTAAATTCCGGTTTATCAGTGTCGTTCTAATTTTATTTAAAAAATGTAAAACTATGATGTAGGGTAGACGTGGGGTAGACTCAATAATTTGTTGTTTTATTTACGTTGTGAATAAATGTTGGTAGTTATTAAAATTGTTATAAAAATATATAATTCTAATAAAAATAGATAAGTTATAATAAGTATTTATTAACACAAACATCCGATACGCTACTGAAGCAGGTAAGTCAAATTAACGTATCTAAATTCTTTGACATCTAATCTTTGACAAGTAATAAATAAAAGCTAAAATGCAAGAAAAATATATAATTTAGTTAATTTAAGTGAATTTCATAAATGATCGGTTTATTACACGTATATATATATTATATAGTCACTTACTAGCGAAAAGTTGTTCCATTATTTCACTCAATTTTTGGCGAGATCTACCGCACGCTACACAACCAACTATTTTAGAGTCTTTTTCGATAAATCGCGATAGTGTCACTGTTCATTTAAGTTCTGCCACAATTTCCATCTAGATTTACTACCTTTATACAACTATCAGTAGTAGAATAAATAATAAATAACATAAAATAAGCTCCATAAAGATTGACAAATCCACAAAATTTCAAATCAAATTCAAATGTGTCAAATGAATTGTCAAACAGAACTGTCAAGGATCCCCACCCTAGAGAGCTTTTATGGTGCCTTTTCCGCCCACCATGCATGAATACATGGATAGCATTATGCTCCTTCCTTAGTCTTCTTATTCAAAGGTTTTAACAGTTTTGAAGAGTAATAACTTTTCGTCCGTACCTGATAAGACTGCTGAGTAAAAAATATATATTTCGGTGATTTTTTACGAAAAAAATATCTCTTGGTAAAAATCGCTACGAGCAACCGTTCTCAAGATATTTAGAATGAAAATAGTCAAAATATGTCATTATTGACTAAAAATAAACGTGTTGAGTAGATAGCTATTTGACAGAAATAATAAATTTGGGAATATTTTATTTTTTTAAATTAATCATAAATTTCTCTTCAAAAAAATGATGATAAAACATGTTGTGAAACTCCCAGAACTCCCTTCAGAAATTATTTGGAAAAAATCGAAATAAAAATAAAATTTCTACACCCTGTATCTCCGAAACTAAGCATTTTAGAACATTCATTTATACGAACTTTTTTACTTATTTTTATCTGCACAATATGCTGCCGAAGTTTCCGGAATACAGTTCAGACCACCCTGTATATAAACAAATTAAATTAACTAAAAATAATAATTAATACATACCTATTAATCGCAGAGCTATCAAATCTGCAGCGCTATTGGATGGAGCAGTGACCAAAATTCTGCTACCGGGAAGCATCCTGAGTACCTGCAGAATACTTTCTATAACAGTGACGGTTTTTCCTGTACCGGGTGGCCCAAAAATCACATAAGGCAACGGCCTACACGTTCCCTTCAGTATATTCACCACTGCGTCTTTCTGTTTGCAATTCAGAGTTTTGTTGTACCTAAAAATTAAGCTTTTTTTAATACTGCAGCACAGAATACGTTAATTTTATACCGTGTGATCGAAAAAACGACGTCAAAAGCGGTTAAAGAAAGACAATCGATGATAATTTTGAAGAGGTCAATCTCTTAGACGGAATGTAATAAAAAATTGACATAGAACTTTTCAAAAATTGGAACTAATTATAGAAAGATTAAAAAAGGATAGAACGTTTCCAAACACACAAATACAGGCTAAGTAAATGACCTCTAGGGCTCGACTGCGCCAAAATTATCATCGATTGACATTCCCAGCCGTCTTTGACGCCGTTTTTTTAAGCGAAACTTCTTTACGCGCGCTAGCAGTAAAAATTCAAGGCCCTGACACACCAGCTAGCGAGACGATTTCAATTTAATAGCTGCTAGTAAAAAGTTTAACCAAAAACCAGCAAAACAAAAAATACAAAAATAAAAAAGATGAAAGTTTTTGCTGAATTCATTTTGATATCTACTTTATTGCTGGTTGTATCACAGATAACATACTATGTTATCTCTCGTTGTATTTAGTTCCTTGATTTGTGCTTGTAGACCTTCAGGACTATTGGCAATTAGGACTATGTCATCAGTTAATTTTAGATGGTTAATCTAAGTAATTTTAATCAATTACTCAATATCGTTAAACTTTTTAACAATTATGGTTTACTCACTTGGAGAAAAAGTGGAAATAATCGAACTTTATTTTAAAAACAATGAATGTGTCGGGTTGCACACATATTCAATGAACGCTATCCTGACAAACACCTTTATGGCAAAATTGTTTGCGAGTTAGTAGCAAAATTTCGCGAAACTGGTTCCGTTATGAATAAAAAGAGGCAGATGGAAAATCCTGTAGTAAATGAAGCTATGGAGGTATTAGTTTAACTGTTTTTAGAATATATTTTATTCTTATTTTATAATTTTATAGAATCATATGAATTATGAAGAAAAATTCCATACTTTACTGCATATGGACGAAATAGTATAACTGATGCGTATGAGACGCGTATGATGCGTCTCATACGCATCAGTTATATATAACCAAGATAGAGTCTGTTTTATACCAAATGGAGAGTTTCCAATGTTAGAGATAGAAAATTTGGCTGAAAGACGACCATCTATAGTTATTGGTAATTATTTTTTCACTTATTCTTGATCACAAATTAATAAAAATCTATTTTTAAGGTGTCAAAATTCAGGCTAGTGATCCTTTGGATCATACAAATAAAATGTCTACAAATAAAACATGTCTATTTAAAATTCTCGAAAGTTTTCTTTCAGACGTATAACAGAGAAAAAAAAAAGATCAGTTATAAAAAGATTGCCAGACTTCAAAAATCGATCGATGCTAAGTTGTGATACCATAGCACAAAATTAGATATAATGTGAAAAGATATACCGGGTGTTGCATCGTCGAGCGGGACATAGGAAATCCCATGTAAATTTTAATGGGGTCAAAAATTGGCTTCACTAATTATTTTAGAGAATAATTCTATTTAGGTTTATTAATTCATTAAAATTTACATGAGATTTCCTATGTCACGTCCGACGATGCAACACCCGGTAGATAGATGTAAATGTCAAAAATAACGTCTTTAAAAATATTAAAAATAAATTCACTATTACTTACCATTCTAATTTAAGAACATTCTTATTCAGCTCTTCTAGTTCTTTTTTTATTTTAATTTCTTTTGCCAAGCTTACAAGTAGCTTGACATTTCTTTTATTTGCACTCTCTGAACTATTGGTGTTCACTATATTTGGATAGGGTTCGTACCAAAACTCAATTTGAGCATTTTTTTCTTCTATCTTAGCTGGAAATAACCAATTTCTTCCCAGGTTTCTCGAAATAAGAAACACTGCGTGATGCTGTCTCTTGTAAGATGCGCGACCTACAGAAATAATAAATTTTATAAGTTTGGTGCATTTCAATCATTGTCTGAAAACTTATACAGGGTTGTTCACCACATACGACACGGAGTATTGTAGCTAAACGATTAGATTTTTACAGATAGTAAGTTTTGGGTTCGTTGAAGGACTATTAGAGCTACAATTTAAAAATAATTTTACAAGATACAGAGTGTCCCAAATAAGTTAAAATATCATAATTAAATGGAACACCCTGTATATTATTCTATTTTTAGATTCTACGACTGAAATAAAGGTAAATTTGATTAAGGTTTATCGCACTTAAACCTTACCGTTTTTGAAATATTTTCAATTTTGTGAAATTGCATTAAAAAATTAAGTTTTTATTTCTCCAAGGGTATTAAAGGTTTTAATACTAAATATTTACTGAAGATTATTTGTTGATCAGATATTATGTTGCAATAATAAAAATTATACTACATTATACAGAGTATTCAAAAAATTATATTAAATAATTACTAGCTTTAAACGGCAATAACTTGTTTAATTTAAATGGAACACGCTGTATATTTTGCGTGAATCAGATGCAAAATTTAATTGCCTATCAAACTGTATTATACCATTTTTACCTATTTCTTCAAGTTTTTGTAGAAAATGCATTTTCCTATTATTTAAATCTCATTTATCACTATACCCATGTGAGAATATTGATATTTTAGATTTTTTTAAAGCAACATCTGTACAAAATATACAGGTGGTAAAAATAATAATATTGCAAGCCCATTTGTATTAATATACTGATAATAATAATAATAGTTTGTTCAATCACAAACCTGGTATAACTCGAATTGTATAATCTTCCCCGTTATACATCTGATGGAAAAGTTCCGAGAATTTTAAATAAACATGTTTTGCTCCAACTTTTGTCACATTTCCTTCATAAATCTCGTTTGTATGACCCAAAGGATCGCTGGCCTGGATTCTGTCACCTTAAAAATACATGTTTATTCGTTTTTGATAAAAAAAATTAAAAAAATTGTTACCAATAACTATAGATGGTCGTCTTTCAGCTAAATTTTCTATTTCTAACATTAGAAACTCTCCATTTGGTATAAAACAGACTCTATCTTGGTTATAACGTCTCATATGCATCAGTTGTACTATTTCGTCCATGTGCAGCAAAGTATGAAATTTTTCTTCATAATTCATATGATTCTAAAAAATTATAAAATAAAGCATAAGATATATTCTAAAAACAGGGTTCGGAAGATATATTAACCATCTAAGATTCGCTAATGACATAGTCCTAAATTGCCGATAATCCTGAGGAACTAAATACAACTACAGATATCATAGTAGATAAAAAATAAATCATATTTTTACGTGAGGAATCTCTCCACAAGAGATGTTTCTTGAAACACCCTGTATATATGCTATATTCAATAATTTTTATTTATTAAATTAAATGTTTTTCTGTGTAAAAAGTTTTTTTTAAATGTATTTCTTTTCAATTAGAGATAAAATAAAAGATGTTTAAAATATAAGTTTCTGTTAATGTGTTTGTGTATAAACAATGCCTTTTTTTAAGAAATAATGTCATTTATATGATATTTAAATTAATATTATGATATTTTTGCACCCTACTAAAAAATATAACAATTAATAATCTTACCAGACTATTAAAAACACTCCTTTTTACTTTTTTCAGTTCTTCAGTAAAAAGCATCCGATTCTGAGCCCCATAGTAATTCTCATATACATTCAGCAGATGTCTTGGTACTGCATAGTCAGGCAGTCTCCTTATTTGAAATCTGGCAACCTGGTGCTGCCTTTGTCCGCTAAAATTCCAAAAAAAATATTATGCTATGTGCATGTTTAATAATAAAAATAATAAAGTAAAATTTTACCGAATTATTTGTCCATTTTGTGGTACATTATTACTATAATTGTAATTGTTCCTTTGGTAACTCCCAGGGTTCTTCACATTTATATTAACATGTAGATTAATATATTTGTTAACAATAAAATTTTCAAAAATTAGCGTTAATAATTCATTAGACACACCGATGTTTTTTGCTGTACAATTTAGTAAAATTTCTAAACTTTCTTCAGGCCTTATTTCAACAGATTCGGGACTATTTTGTGATAAAACAATTTGTGTACAATTATCACTAAGTTCTGCTCTTATAAACTTGAATATATCACTAGATTTGTTACTTAATACAACTCTTAACTGTTCACTATCACCTAGTTTACTAAAATTCACTTTTGTACCAGAAATTTCAAGTCCTGGATGAGATTCCTCCAGACACTGATTATCAGAGTTCTTAAAAACATCAAATCTATTTTTAATCGATTCAGGGATGATTTTTAAAGCCCTAAAAATACATCTTCCTTGGTCTGACTCGATAATCTCAGCAACAACTTTGTCTTTTACTACTGGAACATAACCACAGCTTAAAGAATCCTTATTAAAAAATATATCTCGGTTTATAGTGCCGGTACAGTCCAGTGAGTCCCATGCTGAGATCTGTCCAGTTATTATATGAGCCCTGACGGGGGATATTTTGTCTATTGTAATGACATCACCACTTAAATCTATTGTTTGGTCGTTTACCTCGCATTTAACAAGGAGTTCAATCCAATCACCTACTATAGGGACAAATACAGTGGCGACTTTGTCTAAATCGAGTTTCATATTTTCGTGGCTTAGGTGAAGTATTCTTTTGTCTCTTTTCTCGACTTTACATATCAAAACTCGCGTATTTACAAAAGAATCTTTTTCAATGTTCGTATCCCAGTCACTCTGTATCTCTGCTACATTGTAAATATCAATTTTCCCGTCGTAAACTAGTTTTTGGTACGAAACTACCGTTCCTATACTGAATGTATCGGTATCTGAGGTGAAGGAATATAAATCATCGATAACATAACTATTGGAAGTGTTTCTAGCCGTTATAACACCTTTCCTGCTTGCAAAATTGTATTCCTCCTTGTAGGAACCGTCCACTCCGATCTGGGGTTCGATTTCCTCCTCGTTTATTTCAGGAGAATAGTTTTCCGATGCTAAAATCTTCGTACAATCTTCCAAAGATAATTCTGATTCGGGATCAGACTTTCTGAAGAACGAAAATATATAACTAAGCATGATATAATCTTGAAGAATAACGTAACATGTATGTAAAAGAATAATGTTTGGGTACAATAAAACTTATTTTAGATGTGTTCTTTCTTTCATAACTTATTTACAGATTATTTAAATAAAATCCGAGTTAACCACATTTTATTTTCGGAAACCTTAGACTATTATAAACATTCACAAACTAGACACACCATGGCTGAATAGTCTGAAATTAATGTTTATTATTTTTGCTTTTACTGTGCTCTCTTATACTCTAGGTAAATAAAGAAGTGTTTATTAATACATGTTATACTTGACCGTTATTGTAGATATAAATTTAATACAAAAATATAAAATAAAATATTCTAAATTTCTTGCCCTTAACTGACTCATATATGTTGGCTACAAATAGGTAACCGGAAAGGAAAAAAAACGGGTCTAGTTTATCATGATCTAACTTCTAACGATGGTAGCGACATCTATAAGAATTGGAAAAAATATGAACTAAAATATTAGAAATTACAGAAACCTGTATGATAATTTGCGCCATCTATCAATAGGAAGCGAAAACTGTTGGTAGAAGATTTCTGTAAATTATAGAAATCTGTTTTGAAAACTGATGTGGTGCCATCTGTTAGAAATTACCGGAGGATAATGAATACAGAATTCTGTAATACATAATGGAAATTACATTACCGAAATACTAAATACAAAAAAACAAAAAGTCGTGAGTTCGAAAAAATATTTAAAAATTATCGAATTTGGGCAGAAAGCCAAAATCGAAATGTACGTCGTATTAGAAAATAAAACAGGAAGCAAATCTACAAAATAACGTCATAAGACGTCGTAAGAGTTCAAGGGGGAAATAAGAAATAAGGGGGGATCTCTATACTCTACGATTTGACCTAAAAAATCAAATGGCTGTTGTGTTTGCCAGTTTTATCGTCAGAAATGTGGACTAGAACATGCGGAGCCTTCTGGCATTTGAAAATCATTAACCATTATGTAATCCGAGTCAGAGATAAATATGCCGAACGCATGAAGTTAATTTATAACATTACAGATAACTGCTTTTTGCGTTTTTGCTGCTGCTTTGAACAGATGACAAAGTTTTATTTGGCTAAATTCATATTGCGATGATGTTTACATAAGTATTTCTGTCTCACACATCGAATAATAGAATTCCATCCTTATCTTTTGATTAGAACGTAAAATATTTTATCATTTTTTTTGGACTAGGCTTCGGAAAATTACTGAAACCTTTTTATACAGGGTGTCCAAGAACAGACAGATTATTTTTAATGGTAGATAGGTTTCTCATAAATATTTAGTTTTGATAAAAGTCCCTGTAAAGCCCCGTCTACACATACCGTTTTACCTGTCAGTCTTACCTGTTCAGTCAAAACACGTATCAAGCAAAACCTTGTGTGTATACGAAAAAGGGATCCGTTTTACTTGAACTGCAATTATTCTACTGTTATATCAATCAGTTAAGGCCATAAACAGTCATAACATATACAATTTTATATACTAATTCATTATAATAAAATTAAATAATAAAAATATTGTAATTATATTCCTGCAGATTAAGTAAAAAATGTTGTTCTTAAATATCTACTATTATATAATTAAAAAAATATCATGGTAACAAACAGATATTTTGGAAACGTCTATGTTTACTTATTTCACTGAGATTTATGAAAAAACACTTGTACTTATTTATGAAACACCCTGTATAAGAAGAGAGGATTCTACACTAAATTTATTAAGTAATAAAACATGTTGAAAGGAAATAACTGCATAATCATTTTGTGGACTAGGTACAAAACTCATTTTTAAAATAGGACTTTATACAGGGTGTCCCAGAAATAAGTGCAAGTATTTTAACTGGTAGTATACATAGTTCAACCTCAGAAACACGCCTATGAGGTTTTTTCGCCAAAAAGAAATTTTGAAAATTTGGATTTTTTTTTGTTTTTAGTTAAAAAACATAATTTCTTGATAATATATGGCAACATAGGTAGTAGATGAAATTTACAAGAAAGAAAATCCAGAAAAGATCCAGTGGTTTTCAAAACTTTAGCAAAAAATCATTTTTTTGCGAAATTATCAAAGTAAAATAACTCCGTTATTTCGGACTTATTTGAACTAAACGATAAAGAGAAAATATGTTTCTTTTATCGAGATCTACCACCCTTTAAAATTCTTGCACTTGTTTCTGGGACACCCTGTATAGTGGAAATATATTTATTTTCACCAAATAATATTAATTATTATGTTAATAATAACTGAGTAGATATATAACCTCTACATAGTTTTAATTAAAATATATTTTAGATTAACGATGAAAGCCTGATATACCTATCTAACTAAATATGTTTTGGCCTATTTTTTTCTGTTATCATATAATATGTATAAATATACATTTTAGGCGGACGTGAGATAACATACAAAATAAATAGATAAACAGACTTTTTGAGCACCCATACTTCAAAATAAAAATGTACATGAACGTAGAGATAATTTTAAAAAAATTCTGTTATACTGAAAACAGTGAAAACGTATGTTTCAGAAATAAACTGTGGATTTCGTTAATGATATTGCTAAAAAATAAATAAGTATAATAAAAAGGTGGATCTGTATACAGGGTTATAAATATTTCTACTCGAAAGTTGAAGAGAGATTTTTTCTTGTCTTGGTAAATAAAATATCATTATTCATTTATAATTTGTAATACCGGGTAGTCAGTATTCAGCAGCATATTCTGCAGATAAAAATAAGTAAAAAAAAATCTTATAAATTTATCTTCTAAATGCTTCGTTTCGGAGATACAGGGTGTAGAAGTTTCATTGTTATTTCGATTTTTTCTAAATAATTTCTGAACTAATATCGATATTTAGATGAAAATTGGTGTCTAGAAGTTTTTTGACATGAGAAATTTGATTTTGGGATCAATATGACTCCTACTTGTAGAGGGCGCCATCTATATACATATTTTTTAACTGGTATGAAGAGTACCTAATAACTTTTCATAAAACTACTGAGTAAAAAAATATACATTTACGGCGTTTTTTATATAAAAAGGTCTCTTTATACAAATCACTACGAGTAATATTCTCGAGATATTTGGAATTGAAATTACCAATACTTTGTCATCACAAATACACAGTCTGAAATACTGAACAATTTTATAAACTAAATGTTTACAGTTACTTTTAAATAATTTCGTCACAGTACATACTAAAGCAAAGTTTGTATCGAACATACTATGTCAGTTACATTAGGTATCACAAGTCAATATAGAGCAAAGAAGGCCCAATTTTATAGGCTCTTTAATAGTTTCGAAGTGTAATAATATACATAGTGTTAGCTGTCAAGTGAACGTACCGAAAGTTGACTTGAAGGAGGAGGTCAACGGCCTTATAGTTCTGTTGGTAAAAGTTTAACTGCATTTTCGATGACGTCGCTTTTTCTATTAGCCGACATTCTATTTTGTTTAAGGTCTAGCAACAAATAACAAAGCCACGAACAGAAGAAATCTGTTGGTTTGGTTTTGGTGAAGAAATTTTATATACTTCCAGATAATCAATAATAAGTTCAATTGTCTTACATGCAATTTCCTATTTGTACAGATGTTTTCAATTTTAACTAAAGACATCTAAATAAGTATTTGGTTTTAACATTGAATATGAAACAATATATATTTACTGTATTTGACTAAGAGTGGGTCCCAAGGGGGACCCTCCACTGAGGCCGCGAGGGCCTATTGTGGCTCAGTTTCTACAAGCTCTAATTTACAAGAGCGTCAAAGTTCATCCTCAAGACCCAGCCTCTTAATATAGGCCGTTATGTCTTAGGGCGATATGTCTCCTAGGTCTGATAGGTCTAGCATGGGTTTGCCAAACATCTCAAACCTGGTCCTGCTCCCAGCAGGGCAGGTACACATAACGTGCTTCATTGTTTCATCATCTTCCATACAGAGTCGGCATTCGGCGTCTTCCACCAGTCCCGTCCTCTGCAGGTGAGATCTCAGCCGGCGGTGGCTTCGGTGTACACTGCAGTGAGCACACGCGTTCCATTCCTACCGGCCTTTAGGAGTTCTCCTCCTGTTCTATGTTTGGATGGCCCTGCTAGTTTTTCTTGGCATGCTCCATTCCGGGACTGTCATTCCAGTCTCGGAATGTCTCACCCTAACCCATTCACAGAGCCTGTCTCTTGCGAGATTTTTTGGGAACGCTATGTCGGTTCAGGGCCAATAATGGCGCGCCTGCACCAATTTTGGCGAGGGAATCAGCACGTTCATTTCCCTCTAGGCCGACATGTCCCGGTATCCATATTAGCGACATGGATACCTATACCCTATATATATATATTTAAGTCAGCTAAGCTAATTTTCTCAAGTGACTTATATGTGTTATAACTTACTTACTTTTTCGTATCCGGATTATATTATAGTATATTAACCCAGTAATGGGCTACGTCCAATGCTTCCCGTTTAGCCAGCCATAGGTCATCGAGGGTACATCTGTGGGGGCACGCAGGACATTGAAGAAGATGTTCCATGTCCTGAAAGGCGCCGCAGTCGCATTTCTCGTCATTTCTGTCCAGCAAACCTCATTTGATCAAATTGGATTTCACTGGGGCGACCCCAGTTCTGATTCGGTTGAGCATTCTCCAGGTTTTCCAGTCGCTAGAAACACCATTTGGTGGGGCCTCTCTAAGTGGGTAGTGGGAGGAAGGTTCATCCAGGGGATGGCATAGGAAACGGCGTCTGGATTTAAGTCTACCTGTGCCGCACTCTTGGCCAAAAATTGAGTGACGAGTATCAAAGGTTTGTTTTAACTTCTCAGTATGTTCATGAGCTTTTCTGCCTAAATCGGGGCTTGTAAAACCTGCGGCCTTGTAAAGGTTTTCTAAGGGGGTGGGTTTCATACAACCTGTCACTATTCTGCATGTTTCATTCAGACTGATGTTCGCCTTTTTTGCATGGACAGATCTACACCACACTGGGCAGGCATATTCTGCAGTTGAAAAACACAGAGCTTGAGCAGAAGTTCTGACCACGATAGGTTTGGCTCCCCATTTACTATTGGTCAGCTTCCTTATAAGGGAATTTCGTGCTTCTACTTTTTACGTGTTTTTTCGCAGTGATATTTGTAGGTCAATGTTCTGTCCAGC